TATGTGTTCCATTTCTATCCTAAAGCTTGGGCTCATTCTGGGTTGATATAGTTTCCAACAGCACTGTTGTTTGGTTGGATTGCGAAGAGTACGAGAAACACGGGTATCCTGATAGCAGGTAGTAGATTCCTTTTGACTCTGAACTTGAGTTTTCTAGGAGGCAAGCCGTTGCTGAGATATTGCACAGCAACATACTCAAATACACTCTGCCTGCGATACTCCTGTGGGTGCCTTATCGCTATGAATGTCCCGTAATCCAGAATCAATGTCCAGGGCCGCCGATACCTGGAGATCCGTCTTCATCGTATTAGTCCCGTACATTTCTGGCAAGTTTCGACAAGTTTAGTGGTTAAGCATGTAGCCATAGATCTGGAAGATCGTTGCAATGGTTACACTCCGTTCATCTCCTTCGACAGACACTGCGTTCGTATACATTTTAGACATTCGGGTCTTGTTTCGTCGCATTTTGTCTATTTAAGGCGAGTCAGCCTTGCTAATAGCTATTGGATTCGGGTTAGCATACGTATTGGAACCCCTATCGTTGCGTTTATCACTCTCGTCTTCCTCATTACTAGGGATAGGAGATGATTCCGGCTGATTGTGTTGTGCGCCGTGGTTGTCGTCGTCATCGCTGGAGATGGGAGTTGATCTCTGTTGACTTGCTGTGTGTCATTTTGACGGTGACCACTATTCTTTTTAATGTGACCAAGAATCCAGTAAATATATGGTTACATATGTATGAGAATACTGGAAGTCTCTCGAATTATACATCCCCCAGCAAGTCTTTATGATCCATGTCAAGGTTAGACACAATCACATATTTAGATATATGAAATATGGCTGCATAGATGACTCCGGAATGGTAGAAGAGCAGTCTTTCGAGCGATGAACTTTGCAAATGAGTCACCAAGCAAAGGCCAAGTTTACAGCGTCTGTTTGCAACACTTGACATGACATCTGTACTTACTCTTCACATCCCTATAGATGCTGTTGTATAAAAGCAACAACTGCTAGCTTATCAAGGACAAAATCCACGATGTCTATCTCACAATAGTATCACACTCCACAAAACTCATGATACACTTACTTACAACCCATACTTTCTCTTAGATCACGACATCATCCCAGCAGCCCTACAAACGGGCCCTCCGTCTCCAGAATGATCATCCTCTAGGGATAAATAAGCCGCATTAGAGAAAAGCAAAGGCCCACGAGTTTAGATCAGGACGCAAGACGTAAAAAGGTTCGATTCGAGGTGGAAAGCGTCGGCATAGACGGGTTGCGCCGGCTGAAAACAGGGGATGTTCAAACCGTTGAGTAATAATTAGCTGAAAGAAAAGGTCCCTCTGTTAGATCTCGTAATTTACAGATTCGAAAGTCTGGGGAAGTGGATGATAGTTTAAATCTTGCATCGGTATTATTTTCTCTTGGCGAGATTTGTATAAGTGAATGTATCTGGTGTTTTGAAGTATATCTAGATGGTCAACTTTGGTGAGGAGGAGTTCCAGAAGAATGAGAGAACTTCAGCCACACTTACGGTTGGGGCCAGTCAGTTGGAGACAAATGCCGAGAATTTAGTTACCTAGGCAAGGTAAAGTCTTGTGTACAGTACAATTAGCATATGAAGGCATGGCATGTGAGTAAAACATCTCACGCCATACAAACCTCGGGACTTGACCGCGCAATTAAAACCTCACCGTGTCAAAGCTTCTGAAACCTAGTCGAGACTCCGTAAATGCAATGCAATTGAAATCAAGAGAACCGGGGAAGCAATCGAGAATTACCCAAGAGGAAGGTGTAGACACTTCTCCTTTTCTTTTCATTCTTCACTCCCTCTCTCTGCATTCTCCGCATGTCTCCAAAAATGATAACGTCCTCCCCCTGCTTCCCCGCACAAATCTCCAATTTCCATCATGTAAAAAATACGTACGAGTAATTCCTCTCAATGGTCTACCACGAAATAAACTTATCCTCTCTTTCCCAGGACCCGTATCTTTATTATCCAGGTTTGATAGTTTATCGTGTGGAACTCCTGAGTCTAGACTGTTTCTGGGGTGCATGCTCCGGAGCACAAGTACTGTAACTTGAGTGACTTTTGGACAGTCTTGGCTGGAGGAGACACGCTCTCGTGTCTTTTCCTCTGGCGCGAGTTGGAGAAACAAGGCACAGCCGCAATGGTATCATGATTCCACTTCTACCGTCTTTCTCTCTCGTAATTGACACACAAAGACGCGTACACTGATGAGTCTGGATAGACAGTATCCGTGTTGAGTGGACTCTCTGCTTTACCCCAGATATCCGCCATTGCCGATCCTACCTTACTCTCTCATGTCGAATCTGGCTCTGTACGTAACAAGATCCGCTTCAGCCTGGCGTAATAAGAACTCCATACTCTACCATTGGCTTTGGAACGAAGCAGTAAAGTCTAAATAGCAGGCTCGGTTCCTCTGTGAACAGTGATCTCGGCCAAGGTTGCATGTAGTCTGGCAATGATCTTCTTCCGACTCAACACCAAACTTCCTTGTCGCAACGTTAGCTTTATATATGTTCTCTTCAGCTCGGGTTTATAGCTCCAGCAGTAATAAAACCTAAACGACTCCTATCATGAATATTTGTCCAATCTCCTAAACTCCACCATGAACCTGAATTGACTTGTAGGGCGCGCCTGAAGGGCGTGATCATCTCCACAAATGACAAATTCAAGTCGTTGCAGGGCGCGTTTGACTACATGTCAAAATGTTCTAAAGACTAGATAAAAAGGCTTTCAAAGTTCAAAGACGTTACTACAACGTTTGCAACTATTTTCATTGTCTGTCTCAGCTCCATCACCGAAAGTTACGAAAGAAGGCATCGGCTGCACGTAATCCCAATCGAATCACTAAGGGCCGGGGTGCTCGCTTACTCAACCAAACCATCACTCAAAAACATGACACGATTCACGACAAAAAGGCTACTCAGGATATGCACAATGATATACTATTGTCATGTTGTACTATAAAAGATATACAGGAGCGGATGTACAATATGCCATATTCCAACTCAAACACAAACTAAAAGAACAGGCCTCAACAAGAAATCATATGTTTACATGATCTTGTTGAGGAAGCGTCGCCAAGCGGGCCAAGTAGCGATCTTGGCACGGTGAGCGTTGATCTCATCCCAATTGTGCTCACGTCGGCCAGTGTCGACATCGATCTTGTCAATCGAGATCCATCCCTCGCGCTTCCAGAGGTATCCAATAGCCCAGAAGGCCAGAACAACAGGGAGAGCAAGGTAAGAGATGAAGAAGCCCTCGACAGTTCCCATACCATCGGAACCAGGAGGGGCAACAATGGCAATATAGAACTGAGCGATAAGGACGAGAATGATCAGACCAAGACTGAAGTAGGAGCCAGCGACACCAAAGGCAGCCCTGAAAGGAATCTCGTCCAAAGTGTGACCCTGTCGGGCCCAAGCCTTACGGAACCGAATGTGGGCAACGCAGATGGAGCCCCAAGTGAAGAGGGTTGAAAGACCAGAAAGAGCAAGGAGCCAGTCAAAGATCTCTCCACCCTTGGGGTCGAGGTTGACAAAGGCGATGAAACCCATGAGGATGTGGACGCAGACGGAGATAAGGGGACGACCACCACGGTCAATGTAGGAGAAAATCTTGGGAGCATATCCGTTCTGAGCCATGGCAGTCAGGGTACGGGAACCACCATAAACACACGACACACCGAGAGACAGAACCGACACGAGAATGATGACGTTCATGAAGTGGTTGAGACCGTTGAGACCAGCGTACTCGCCAACAAGGACAAAGGGTGAAGCCTTGGCGTTAGCGTAACCGGAAATGTTAAGTCGCTCATCAGTGGACTTGATGAGGAGACCGATAAAGGTAAGACCGAGAACGTAGAAGAGGGTAATACGCCAGAAGACCTGCTTGATGGCACCAGGGAGGGCCTTGGTAGGGTTCTCAGACTCGGCAGCGGCAAGACCAACCAACTCAGTACCAGCAAAGGAGAAAGCGGCAGTAACGAAGACCGAACAGAATCCCTTGAAGCCGTTCTTGAAAGCACCGGGGTCCTCGTTCCAAAGCTTACCACCCCAGTACTCATTGTAGCGGCCGTTGTCGGGACCACCACCACAAACGAGGACAACACAGATGAACATGAAGGCGACGGTAGCTCCAAGCTTCAGGCAGGACGACCAAAACTCTTCCTCAGCATAACCAATACCACCGAAGATGTTGATGATGATGATGGCAACGAGGAAGATGGCAATGAAGATTCCGGCTGAAAGGTCTTCATTCCAATATTTGATACAGACAGCGCAGACGGTCAATTCTAGTGGCAGAACGGTAGCCCATTGTGCGACATAGTTCCAACCCATGGCGAAACCCCAAGAGGGATCGATGAAGCGAGACGAGTAGATGTAGAAACCACCGTTCACGGGGTACATGACGGCAAGTTCACCAAGAGCGAAGACTAGAAAGCACACCACGTTAGTATTATTCCCAATATACCCGGTCAAGACGATATTAACATACCGACGTTGAAGATCATAGCACCGATCAGAAGGAAATCAATAAGAACAGAACCAGGACCCTACAACACACGATTAGCAACTTATGACGACGATCGAGAAGATATTAGATCGACTTACGCCATTGTAGAGAGCCTTTCCAGAACCGACGAAGAAACCTGCACCGATGGAACCACCGATAGCAATCATTTGAAGGTGGCGAGGCTTCATACGACGATCAAGTTCAACGTTGGTAGTGTCCCTGCGTCGCTGGAAAGACTCGAGTGTGAGACCATTTCGGGTCCAGTAGGACTCCTCCTTGAAGGCGAAGCCGCCGCCAGTCTGGACATCTCCAGACTGCTCAGTGACCGTGTTGCCCTTCTCCTGGCTGACATTAGTCGGGTTATCGCTGGAACTCTTTTCCATGTTGGATGTTCCCTTGCTGGGTAACTCTTGAAGAGTTGTAGGGATTAAAGAAGGATAAAGAAGGAGTGGTGATGATCGAAACCAAGGGCGAACGAGGAGGGGAACAACGGTTCTTAAGTATGAGTCCAGGAGGGGAGGACAGGAGCCAGAGAGGACTGGGGTCGCAGTCGACTTGACGGGCTAGAGGCAAGAGGGCCGCCATTGCGGGAACAATTCGGTCAACTCGATCATCTTGTGAGGCCCCTAGTTTCCCGTTGTGTTGCCGATCAACAAGAAGCTGTCAAGCTTGGGGCAAGTAAGCGTGTGGATATCAACGAGGAACGAGAAGGCTTGGATGCCAAGAAGCGCGATACGGACGGAGGAACATGGATAATTGGGGTAGGTTCAAAGTCTGAGATGGCGGAGCGGAGTCTATCACGGACATGGGACTAGGACCAGGCGATGGACAGGAAGCAGGACGAGGAAGCCGATTCGACAGATTTAGTGCTGTCGATGTTGCGGTTGGTTATGCGCACCCCTTGCTTGTTTCGTGGGACCAAAGGTTGGACCCTCGAGAGCTACAATGAGATGAGCATTAGAAAGAGGTGAAAGGACTGGAGGACCTGCAGATACCTGTGCTTTCCGTGCCGTGTCTTTGGACAAAGAGTATGGATGAATTGCCTTGCATCACGCATGCATTGCATTCGCTACAGCGTGCGACCTTCCAGTTCCTACTCAGCGGTCGGTCATTGAGAGGTTCAACGATCCCATCTCATTGGAACACGCGAAACATCTGCGACATTTCCAATGTGTGACAAGGGGAACTAACAACAAGCTCAAGCCCATTACAGGACGATCAACCTAATTGCAGGCAAAGTGGAGAATTTGGAGAGAGGACTCTAATCCTGGTCCAACGCTAATGCTTACTCCACTTGAGGAGGAAGGTACAGGTACCGATACATGGAAGAGGTACTTCCTTTCTTCCGTCATGGACTTGTCCATCATGGTTGCTCAAGGCAGGAACGCGCTTCTTTTCTCCTTCCATTTTCCCTCAGCCTACACACTTAGGCACTAAGGTTAATAACAGAGTTAATCCCATTTGGCTTTCTGTCTAGTCTTATTCGAGGAGGTCAATACCAACGAGACGGTCCTCGTACGAAAACATCAGCGCATTCATGGTATTCTCCTGCCCGTGCTTTCATTCATGCTACAATTCTTCAGTTGCCAAGCATTGGTTATCTCCCAGTAAGCAGAGACGCCGAAACATGCAACGACTCGTGCGCAAAAGGCGAACTTTTGTCGCTACTCCTACTCCTACTCCCACATCCCACGCTCAAAGACTATTACAATGCCTGAGAATGGGGCCCCCATAAGGCAACCAACCAACACTAGGTGGTAAACGTTGCGGAGCCAAAGTCAGAGAAATTACTCTTCAGTCAAGTCAGTGCCCGCATTACCACATCGGTCAGATAGCATTCTGGCCACATCTCAGTGCTGGTACCGAAACTGTGGCTCGATATCATACCAGGTTTCCAGGGACCTTGGCAATCTGTGTCGATGATACCACAACTGCAAGATTTCCCATCTTGTCTTGCGTATGTCGACCCACCAACTTTCTCGCCGTATCGATTACAGCCTCCTTGGGGACCAACAACATCATATTGCGCACCTAGTGTGGTTTCGAGGCGTTTCGTGGTGCCATTCATAGACTACTCGGAAATAGTCACCCGCGAATTTACGACGCATCCTTTCACAGCATAGTATGGCATGACGGCTCATTTGGCGCCTCGTACACCATCTTGCAGGTTGTGACAGGGGAAAAGACATGCCTAGAAAACAGCTTTCTTCTAGAAGAGTGGCGCACGGCAAAGGTGTGTGTTGCATTGCAATTTAGCTGTTCTTGGCGTATCAAACAAGCGCCAATTAATGAGGCCCAGCTGAATTCTTGAGTATGTTGGTCACAGCTTACGCACCCTATCTATTTTCGCCATGGTGCGACGGTTATCTTATGGGGAGGGACTGAGATAACAGAAAGGCCGAACGATTACAATCAAAGGCGAGCAACTGATTACGGTCCGCGTTAGTTTTTTGCCGCCGCGGCTATGGCTTTGTTCTAGACAACTTCCATTAGAATTCGCGCCATCATATACGTTCAGTACAGAACGTTTCAATGTTGAGATCCGCAGACGTTGAATCTCAACTACGGGGTAATACGTAACAGTTTGCTCTCAACTGCCATTACCCCGTGGGCGAATCGCCGACAATCTGGGGCACGTCTCCATACTCTACAAATTGGCCCGTTCTTTGGGATCGAGCAACAGTCAATTGAGGAAATTTCCCAAACGTTTGTACGTAATACAATTCACTTCATCTTGGGACCCGTTATTTTGACATAGTGCAACAAGCAGGGCAGGGCAGGGCATGGCCCCAAGTTAATCGGCGGGCTCGGACATGACCGACTAGGCCCCCTTGCAGCCCCCGCAAAGCCAGTTGAAGCGTTATCAATTGTTGCCCCTGACCTTGGAAGCACGGCACCGTAAGCCATATTCCACGGGCCGATGAGGAAACCTAGGTCTTCAATGAATGGCCTGCGGCACATTCTTACCTGACTGGACAGTCTGCTAAGGTTTCTGTTAAGCTTAGAGCAACGAGCCACACCAAAATAGAGTGAGAGAAGACAGGCTAAATTGAGGAATAATAATAGTGACAAGTCATTACTTGATTCACCGAGTATCATGAGACCCGAGTTACAACAAGAGTGGTATTTTTTATCCACCAGGAAGGTTACTGTAGCCACCATTAAGATTCCGACGCAATGGATGCGATGCAAGTCAGCCTTGGCCATTGTTCGAGAAGACGTCGATGCAGAAAAACAATTGTCACGGGACTAGCATCGCACATACATATACACATACACATACTATATACAAACCCGATCTTTAATCCGAGTCTGACACACGCTCATTCACAAAATACTCAATGCGGCAGTTGGACAATGGAACTTTCTGACCTTCCATTCTGGGGGCTATTCTGCGCTTCTGTCTTCCGATACGCCGCGCTTTGAGACCTTATCACTTGGCAGAGAGCAATAGAGGACTATTACTTGTCGAGACTGGGCCGTCGCATATAAAAACCCCCCGTTCCGCCAAGACTTTTGTCAAGAATGTTGGCAACATGACTTTTATTAGTGCTTCGTTTCAGGAAACTGGAGAGACTCATCCTATTTTTTACCCCGGTCACTCGACCTCCAGTCTTTCCCGTCGATCTCGTTGCCCCCATCACTCGCCTCTTGTATCTGGCCTCAACGATCCCACAGCTTGTAGCTATACCGTACCGTACCTTTCAACGATGCTCGTGCTGAGTCCATGCATTGCATTGACATTCTGAGCTTATCTAAACGAGTCCTTTATCGTACGGGATCTTTATTCCAGGGTCTTTGATGGATGCATTCAATTTATAACGGTCAGACTGCACGAGCCATAAGAGGGTCCATTCTTGTGGTTCATTACTGTTGACCTTGAGCATTGCGGGCGTAACAAGGTTCTTGAAGGTAGGGTCCAGTGTCGTGGTAACCTAACATTAACAGTTTGCCCCGTTATGTTGGCTATAGCTCGCGTGACGCCACGAATCGTCTTTGAGGCATTTGAGAATTGGTATCGGAGACAAGATTCTATGTTTCTACTGTTGATTGACTTATATCATTCTTTGGCTTCAAGAGACTCGTCACCTTGTCTACCGAATCTAGTGGCTTGGCCTCGGCACTTTGCAGGCCAAGACGGGATGTTGGTGCAAGAGAATCAAGATCAATTCTTGGTACTGCAGGGTAGGGATCTGATTTCAGCCACATCTGGATGCCCAGAACGCCGAGATATTAGCAGAAGGATGGAATGTTCTATTCGGACGAACTTTCGATTGGTCGTCAATTCTACTACAATGCTAACAACCGACTTTGGACTTTCAACAGTTAAGACTGCCCATCTTCGGCGTACTCTGAAATAAACACTACTTGATAACATGCTTACCATATCTAAGCAGTTATATCCTGTCTCATCATTATCCAATTGTACTTATAGTAAATTGTGAAGGATAAGCCTGAAACGTATATCCCGATACCAGCTCACAAGAAGCGACCAAAGACCTGTCAGTTTTGACAGGTAGCTACTCTATCAAGTATTCATGAAATCCCGACAGCATGGTACAACCAACGGAGGCAATGATATGCCAGAGATCATCGCAACTCAAGTACGACCACCAGCAACCTTGTCTAACCTGTGATACAAATCCTCAACAAGCCTCGAATTGACAGGATCTGACTCTCTAGCAAGTTTGAGTCAAGCCGAACTCAGGGTCATAATCTGGAGTAACCTAAGTAGACTTGTGGTAGTCAAGAACATGGTTACAGTTGGCGATGTTTCTGCAACTCTACGTTCCTTTCCGCTTGTCTCATTCAAAACTGACATCAAATCATATGCTTTCAGCTCCAAAGATTGCTGACGAGTCTGTCTATCTATCTCCCCTCAAGAGTGTTGAAACAACTTCTCATTAAGGCCTCGCCTCGACTCCTCTCGTCAAGGTTGATGTTGATGGACAATCTAGAATTGCTCTAATCATTACTTCTATGGTTGCTGATCTTCTGTCTTACATTCAGTTGTCTGGGGAATATGACTTGACAATTGCTGAGAATACCATTACTTCATAGTAAAATAGCTGATGGCTCGAATGCTCTGAACTGGTCGTTCTTAAGCAATGGTCATCATTTCTTCCACCAACCCTCGTTTTCACGTCGCTCTTAAAGCACAGAACAATCAGGTATTCTCGGAGACTTATGTATGGAGATAAAATACTTGACCTCTGGTAACAGTCTGTTAATGTTGATATCCATCGTGCCGCTGTATCTACTATAGTGCCGAATCTATCTTACAAGGCCTGGCAGCTGCGATACTTTGGGTACGGATGCATTTAATAAGTTTTGTTAAAGTATTCCCAAAATACTATAAACGTTTCTTTGCCTCTTGGTCCAATTTGTTTCCCATGGGGCCCTCCCTCGGTCGACACCTCTATAGAAATGCTTAGGTGGATTAGCCAGCTGCACTGGTATAATCCTGCCTGTCAACAATCTAAAGCCTTTCCAATGCCAATATTATACGTCTTTCCATGCATCTATGACGCCTCCATATCCTCTGCCATTGAGTCTTCAGGCCATGGCCACGTCAAACTATCTATGTCTAGGGAATTTGCAACATTGAGCAGTTGTTCTGCACTGAGCTCATAGCTCAACCCCAGCCCAAAATCATCACCTGAATCAAGATTGAATGGATCGGCATATCCAGAAATAGTTGCTACGGTTGTATCTGTATCATCAGCTAGCCCTTCTCGTGGAGTGTCGTGACTCTGTGTTACGACCAAAGTTCTTGACTCATTGTTAACAAGAAACTCTTGTAATAACCCTTCCAGCTGTTGTAGTTCTGACGCAACCATGTTAGCTACGGGGTTACCGCGAGAGCACATCTCGTCAAAGAGGGCGTAGGCACGCTGTGTCCATGGAGTATGATCTGGTAATAGTGACGAATCGATAGCAGCCGCCATGAGCAATGCTATAGTCGCGGTAAAGGTTGCATCATGATCGAAGCGCAGGAATGTTTCTTTTTGGGCGTTAGCTTGAGCCTTATCGGCGTAGCGAACAACATACCCAGAAGTCCCTGGTCAGACAGGCTCGAGAGGATTCTGAGAATCTGCTGAGCAGACTCGGTACACATCTGAACAAGACCCATTACGCTCTCGGATTGTAACCAATGCATCAAAGCAACCTCTAAATGACCTAGCCTGGAAAGAAGAAACGTATAAAGCAATGGTCGTGTGGTGAGAATAATGCACTTGACATGTCAGAATCGTCTGTCGAACAAGAGTGTAGAGGAAGAGCTTACTTGGTGCTGTAGAAGATGAAGGTGAGCTGATATTCGTGAAATGCCAGCCATTCCTTCGCTCGATTGAATCTCAAACGATTTATTCAACCGTTCAGTAACGACAGCAATACTCTTGAGCACTGATTGAGTGGCTTCTATATACCGACTGTCGAGTTTTCCTTCGAGCCCATACACAGCTACACGCATGTAATTAGCACATCTTCATGTCTGGAGAAAATACACCTACTCTGGTCTATCTGGGCAAGCACCCTGCAAAAGTCGACATGTATCTTGAGAGCCTCTAGCTTTTCTGGCTGTCCTGGAAAGGCAGGAAAACGCGCGCTTATGACATCGTCGGATATACTCAATGGGAGGCCCATTAAAGAACCCATTTGTCGTTCGAGGGTGTAGATAGTCCAGAACATGTGACGGCATTTATCTACATAAGACTTGTCTAGAGCACTGGACTGCATCTCGGTGTGTATTCCGTGTTCTAAACCATGACGAAGAGCGTTGCAGACCTAGTTCTGTCAGTGGCCATTATGTCTCTAAGTACTTGGACAGATCTTACCAGACGGTGTGCTTGTTGAATGTGATCGACGGAATGTAGGTAAATAGCAGCGCAACAGAGGACCTGCATCTCGTCTATGATATTGCACTCGAAGAAGCTAAAGTCTGGCATGAGTTTCATAGCCTGTATGAATAAGTCGCCGCCAGGAGGACGTCTAGATTTGGTAGATTGAACCACAAACGCTTTTCCAAGTGCTACAACAATAAGATAATGAACAAACCAGAGAGGTTCGGCTCGCGAGTACTCTGCAGGATTATCATGGAAGCGGTGGAATCGTTCCATAAAGTTGTCCTCGTCGAACAGAGTATATAGCCATCCACAGTGAAACTTGACTGAATTGACGAGATACAGAGCAAAATCCTTGGCTGGTAGCGCGGTCATGTCGAGTGCATCTCCTGGTGCCATCCCCCTTGTGCCATCCCATTTGAAGTCGAACAATTTCCCCTCAAGCCCTGAGAAATGAAGGTTGTGAGTAGGCAATGCTGTTCCCTTGATGCGCTCATGTGTCATGGTCAAGACTCTTCTGTTGAAAGACCAGTTTGAAGACGTTCCCATGAAGAGAAGATGGCTTTTGATACCTGGGACAAAGTCGTAGGTATGGAAGGCCAGAGGATTTATCAGAGGAGCCTGGCCTTGGCTATTAGATCGATGAGTTTGTGTATGGGCTGATGCATACGGTGATATTGAACTTGGAACCTTGGCAAGATCTGGAATGTCGTTAATTGCATCAGATACCCGTATTGATTCACCTTATTTACTCAGTATAGGAACAATCATTATAAAAAGATCACATGTACTCACCTAGCTCCGGGCTTCTCGATTGACCAGCTACATCTTGCTGGTTTGCCTTTCTCTCCAGCAACGCGAGCCTTTCTTGAAGATTGTTGATATACCTGAAGGACTTGAGCTACTCATCGTGAACTATACTTGTTGTCAAACTCACCCTCTTGAAACAACTACTTTGCGAGATTCGTCGTCGAAACGACACGGCAACCCTCTTTTATCGCATTGTTGACAGGGTTGAGAACCCGAACATTTGATCTTTTGATCGCGACATCTTACACAACTAATCAGTCCTCGTTAGTGATGCTAAACTTGAGTACCATCCAGTAGGAACATACGCTTTAGGAGCACGCTTTCTAGCATTGTTTGGACGTGTGGAGCTAGAGCGCGTAGACATTGACATCAGTTTGAGAGATACGCTGTAGTTAAGTTGAATACCATTGATTGATAGTAAATTGTGTATCTTGTTGTGAATGAGTAACACGCCAGTATCCCTGTGTCCCTCCAGTCCCAAGACGTATCTAGCGAGCAAGTGTCCGCGCAAAGAGCGGGGTAGATTGGGGAAAGATAGGGATCCAAAGCCGAAGACAAAGGATAGAAGGGCTCTAGAAGGTGTGGGTATTGTTCTTGACTTTAGTTGATGGCGGAGTTTTGTATGTTTGATCGTCTACTCTGCCTGATTGCGTTAGAACGTCTTGAGTTTGAAGCACCGTCAAAAGTCCGTTTATTGCCAATAATAACACAACCTTGTTGGTACGACATCAGAACAGACAATTCCAATAGAGATAGACATTGGCCTTTCAGCTTGATTAATGCAAGCCACATGCTACAAAGTTGCAAAGAGGTATCTGCAAACCCCTCCCCCATGTTGTAGAAATAAACCATTTTAGATTCAGGTGCATTCATCAGAATGTACTAGTCGCAGAACACATGATATTGGGTTCTTGGCCTCACCTAAGAAGCCACTCAGCAAGAACAAATGCTGTAAAGCTCGAAACAAATACTTCATAGGTACTAGTGTTCTCGTCCCCGATTCTTCCGAGTTTGTGAATGCAACTGGTTGTGGATGGTCCAAGACTCTGGGCTAGTGCGGCTGAAGCTTATGACTCTTTGGTGGCTTGCAGTAAGCTGGCTGAATCTGGACGGAATATTCATGTGTGACAAACACGACCATTTGCCGGAATGAGAGGACTTTTCGCTATTTGTGGTAATTTCTAAGGCCCCAGCTGATTCTTGTGTTATCGCTTTGTCTCGTATAAGAGGAAAGCAATGCCCATACTGTTGCGGACCACCTTTCTCATCTGATAAAAGAACCACCTACACCTCTACACCTAAACATACCTCGATACAATACAAACACCAATGTTTGGTTTCAACCTCAGCTATCAGTGGCTTTACTTTACCCGACCTTCAGGTCCTCCGTCTCCTGTTCCAGATGGTCTCGAACGCCACTGGGTAGACACACCTCAAGGCCAAATTGAAGTCCTATCCAACTATCCCTCGATCACCGACAGAACAGATGGCCCTCCCATAGTATTCTGCCATGGCGGAATGGGCTGTGCATGGGTATGGACAGAGTACATGCAATATCTAGCCGCTCGTGGAGTTCCATGCTATGCAGTCTCGCTGCGCGGTCATGGAGAGTCATGGCATCCGTCATACTTCCGTATGGTCTTTGCAACACCTCGAAGTGCTTTGGCGTCTGATCTAGTTGCGGTGATTGACTGGGTGGAGATCCGTGAAAAGGATGAGGTGATGCTTGTTGGGCACTCGAGTGGTGGAGGGTTGAGCCAGGGTATTCTCAGTGATGGCCTGGCTAATGTCAAAGCCCTTGCGTTGCTCGGTGCTGTCCCAGGGTTCGGATCGTAAGTCAATTCATCATATCTTGGCCTCCATTCGAGACACTAACACCGCCTCGCAGAATGGGCGTATACATGAATTGGTGGAAAATGGATCCTTGGTTCACCATTCGAATGATTTTCCATCTCTGGCACTCTAACTCACCTCTCTCACATCCAAAACTCACCCAACGCGCCTTCTTTGGCGATAAATACCCTCTCTCGGCCGTTGTCGACTTCCAGCGTCATATGAATCGCTACGAGGCCTACCTATGGCCTTTCAGCATGATGAACTCATTCACATCTGCATCGACTATTCTGAAGCACATCCGCAACGACGGGACAAGTAATGAAAAGGTTCTTGTCATGGCAGGTACTCAGGATAAGCTGATGACAGAGTCAGTGTCTCGAGAGACAGCTAGTTATTATCGTGAAGCCGGGACTGGGAAGCGTGACGGTGTGAAATTGCTCTTTGTTGAAGGTGCTGGACATCACTTGCAAAATGATGTGCAGTGGGAAGATGGTGCTGAGAAGTTGTTTGACTTTTACAAAGGTATTACTTGAGTACCTGTGTGTAGTTCGATATGTTTGGCGCTCACGACTCCATTGTATACTATTCGTTTCATCTCTTCTTCAATCGACTCAGTGATAAAGCTGTACTGCAAGACCTTCGGTCCAATACCCGTCAACATCTGCCGCTACCAAGGACATCGTGGATAATCGGTTCGTGTCCCGATAGAACCTCCACTAAATTATTCAACTCCCGGTCCGGTAGCGGCCTCTAAATGTGCCGATGAATCTCGTTAGCTGTACTGGAAGAAGAAAAAAGAGGGCCCGGACGGAGAGACAGGGGACTCCGGTGCTAAAGCGAGTTCGACAGGGCGTTCGTCAGGCGGTGTCTCTTTTGTCTCTTCCCCTGAGGCAATTCATCACTTCAATTCATCATCATCAAACAAAAGGAAAATAACCTCCGAGACTTGTTGGCTATCAAGATTCGATATCGGTACTTCAAAGACCCGAAAAGACCGGCCTTGAATCCCACATTCGGAGGCCCTACCGATCTTTACTGTCTTGCAGTAAACCTCGGGCTTCTTCCGTGTCTTTCTTCTCTTTTTGGGTTGCCTCAGGCAGTCACCAGTCCATAACAGCCAACCTGGCGACCCTTCAGCGGTTCCAGCGGTTGTCGTTGTCAGTGGGGGTAGGAGCAGCCAGTCGCAGTCGGTCGCTCTTGCTTGGTTCGGCGTTCGTAATGGAGGGAAAGAAAGTGCCCCGCGTTCCGGAGCTGTCCGCCGAAGGCCCCTCTTCGGCGGGCTTTACTACGTATTCGGCCGCTACGTCGGCCGATAGGATCTCTCTCTTCTCGGGCCATCTGTCGCATCAGACCTCTTCTTATAACGCAGCTTCCCCTGCTCTTTCGTCATCCACCCAAGCTCGACTTCTATCGACAACCACAGCCAACATGTCTTCTCAACCTGAACACGCTACTCTGCTCATTCCCGGACCCATTGAGTTCGACGATGATGTCCTCAAGTCTATGGGCCACTACAGGTATGCGAAATATATCATTCATGATAAATCAATTGCTAATACCTATCCTCCAGTGAGAGCCACGTCGGCCCTGGCTTCGTCAACACCTTCGGCGAGACCCTCTCCATGACCCGCAAGCTCTTCCAATCGACCGACCCCTCCGCCCAACCTTATATCATTTCCGGTTCCGGTACTCTAGGATGGGATATCGTCGCTGCCAACCTTGTTGAGGCTGGTGAGGACGCCCTTGTTCTTAGCACTGGTTACTTTGGCGATGGCTTCGCCGACTGCCTGCGCGCCTACGGTGCCAACGTCACCAAGATCGACGGTGAGGTTGGTGGCCGACCTCAGCTCCCCGAGATCGAGAAGGCACTTTCCGAGAAGAAGTACAAGATCCTTACAGTTACACACGTCGACACATCAACAGGTGTCCTGAGTGAGCTCAAGAACCTCGCAGCTACTGTCAAGCGAGTCTCACCCGAGACTCTTGTTATTGTCGATGGTGTTTGCAGTGTTGCCTGTGAGGAGATCGCTTTTGATGAGTGGGGTCTGGACGGTGTTGTTACTGCCAGTCAAAAGGCCATTGGTGTTCCTGCCGGTCTGTCTATCTCTTTCTTCAGTGGCCGAGCTGTTGCTGCCGCTCTCGAGAACCGCAAGACTCCTATCCCCGCCTATTTTGCTTCCATGAAGAACTGGACTCCCAGTGAGTAACGCATGTACCCGAACCATGTATATCTTGCTAATGTCGCGCAGTCATGAAGAACTACGAGGCCAAGAAGCCCTCTTACTTCGCCACTCCCTCTCCTCAGCTCGTCCACGCCCTTCACACCAGTCTGAGCCAGATCCTCTCCAAGCCCTTGTCCGAGCGATTCCAGGGCCACATCGAGGTCTCTAACAAGGTCAAGAAGGCCATCACCGATCTCGGTCTCAAGATCGTTGCCGCCAAGCCCGAGGACCAGGCTCACGCCATGACTGCTATCTACCTGCCTGAGGGCGTTGGTGCTCCTGATGTTCTGCCCAAGCTGGCTGGCAGGGGTGTCGTCTTTGCTGGTGGTATTCACAAGGCTATTGCCTCCAAGTACATCCGATTCGGTCACATGGGTGTCAGCGCTGTAAGTTTAATTTATACTTTCTTTTGCAAAATTTGGGACTAATTTGTTTCACAGCTGGACCCTAGCCGAAACCACATGGAGAAGGCCATTAATGCTCTTAAGGAGAGCCTGTTCGAGGCCGGTTATAAGCCTTAAACATGAGACATAAAGAAAAATGAAAAACGTCGTCAACATAACTTATTAACGACCTAGTGAAAGCTCTGGGCCGTGCTAAGTTAACAGTATATAATGAAAGCAATGGCTGGCCATATTGATTGGTATTTGGATAGATGATGGAACCAACTATAGAGGGTTGGCTTGTATTGTCTTTTATTGATAAAGCGAGCTTAAAAAATATGATACTTTGATAAATACCCCTTGATCCTTGCTTGGTAGTGCTACGCGAATTAACAGTTTACACATTTATATCTTTCGGTCTTGTTCCCGTTGAAAGCTATCATGCATAACTTGTATATGGTCAATAAGAACAGAAGTTTCCAGACTGTTCTGTCACTTTGAATATGAGCTTCCCCCTCAGGTTATGAATAAGAATGCCAGGCTATCGAAATAACCCCTCGGCGCTGTTTTCAGCCGAGAGGGAAATGTGATATCACATCGTGTCAACTGTGAATGCAGCTAGAGTTGACCATACTAAAAGGCTATGGTTATACGATAGGATATATTGGTATAAAGTGAACACATTCAGCTGAGAAAGATTTTGAAGAGTTTGTCGTGATTAAGAACAACTCAAACACGATCCCAATATTCGGACTGCCGCATCCGGTAACATTAATCAATGGTGCATAACTGGCAAGAGTGACTAACATGCGCTGTTGTGAAATCACAGCGAATCATGAGATCGATCGGTTACGGTTATGTTGCGCCCAGGAGGCTGGGAATTGAAGTACCACTACAAAAATCCCAGCGTCATGGGTCTGATGGATGGTAGGTGCACTGCGTTTTTGAATGGCTTATTCACGATGGCAGTATCGACCGTTGTGACTGAATAAGTAGAGATACTTGTGATGTTTCTTATGTGATAGTGACATGACATTCATCCTTTCTTTTGCCTGTGTCGTGGCGTGTCGTGCCCCGCTGCTGACAAACCTGGGTGAGGTACCTGAGCATCAGATCTGAGAATTGAAGCTCTTAGGTAGGTCTGGTTGCTGGTGGTTACAAGTGACGCAGCCTACACTGCGGGGCATTTTCTGGGCATGGAACTCCACTAAAGGTGTCCGTTGTACTGTATTCACAGCGCTGGCGTTGAGGTCCACTTCGTCCTGAGCCGCCCGCATAGGTCCAGTCCATTCATGGATCTCTTCACGCTTCACCTCACCTCACCGACGTCGTCCACTTTACCTTAGTTTGCTTCGCCAAAGCCGAACTTTGCATTTCTCCTCTTTTTCATTTTTCACTGCTTCCTTTGCGACGCATTTTCCTCCCGATCATCATACATCCACCATATCCCTTCTACTGTAGAGCCGAGCTGAGCTGAGCTACGCTACGCTACTGCTTTCCTCGCTATAGTTTATCTACCTGGGGCTAGCATTTGCTTGTATCTTCTCTCTCTATCCCCCCGCCTTGCCTCGTCTTCGTTCGCCCACCACAAACTACCTTCTCCAACCACCAACATCTCCATCTCTCCCACGTAACGACCCCCTCGTGAACACCCGACATACAAACACAAAATGGCCGCCTCCATTGAAGAGCTGGACGTCCTCGTCCGCTCCTTCTACGAGGGGCGCGGTGAGCAGGTAGGCGATCTTTTGGCTCTCGGTTTTCACCAACCGCGGACCCCGCGCGTCTATATGGGAAACAAGAGCTAATCTAACCTCGTCAATCGTATAGCAAAAAGCCGCCCAAGCTGCTCTCAACCAGGTTCGTGCATTTCTTGAACTCCTGGCTCGTACAGAACTTTTTTCACTGACCCGACCGCAGTTCAAAGAAGACCCCGATGCTTGGCTTATGGTCGACAAGATCCTCTCGGATGCGCAGTACCCTCAAACCAAATGTGCGTTGTCTCGGATTTGCGCCACCTTCCACGCTGTGCTGCACTCAAGCTAGCTTTGTTCCCTTTGATCTTTGCGAATACATGAATTCTGAATCCACTTGGCTAACAAATTTTTGACAGACTTGGGTCTGCAGGTCCTGGATAATGTGATCATGACAAGGTGGAAGGTACTCCCTCGGGAACAGTGCCAAGGTTCGTCTTGTTTATGATGACAACACAATCACCCTGTCTGACCAGTTTTAACGTAGGAATCCGAAACTTCATTGTCCAGTTCATCATCCAGTGCTCAAGCACCGAAGAGTCTTTGCGCCAGCAAAAGACCTTGCTCAACAAGCTCAACCTCGTTCTCGTTTCCGTCCTCAAGCAGGAGTGGCCTCACAACTGGCCTACCTTTATCAACGAAATCATTCAGTCATGCCATTCCAACTTGGCCATCTGCGAGAACAACATGATCATTCTTCGCCTCCTTTCGGAGGAAGTCTTCGACTACTCAGCTGAGCAGATGACATCGACAAAGACACGCAGCCTGAAGCAGACTATGTGCGCCGAGTTCTCACAAATTTTCAACCTCTGCCAAGAGGTTCTCAACACGGCCACGCAGCCCAGCTTGGTCAAGGCGACTCTCGAGACCCTTCTGCGATTCTGCAACTGGATCCCCCTGGGATACATCTTCGAGACACCACTTATCGACACACTGCGAACCCGATTCCTCTCGACCCCCGAGTTCCGCAACGTCACCATGCAGTGCCTTACTGAGATTGGAGGTCTTCAGACTGGAGGTCCCGGGCAACCCAACTCCTACGACGAGGAGCTCGTCAAGATGTTCACAGAGACTTTGACCACCATTGCTAACATCATTCCGGTCTCTCTTGATCTGAAGAGCACATATCCCAGCAGCAACTCAAGGGACCAGGAGTTTATTCAAAATCTGGCACTCTTCCTTTGCAACTTCTTCGGAATGCACTTGAACGTAGGTTACACGCCATGCTTGCACTGCATTTGTGATTCTAACATGTTTGAAATAGCTTGTCGAGAAACTCCCTAACAGAGATTTCCTTATTCACGGTCACTACTATCTTATTAGGATATCGCAGATTGATGATCGAGAAATCTTCAAGATTACCCTCGATTACTGGCTCAAGCTTGTCCAGGAGCTTTACGAGGAGATGCAAGCACTCCCTATCACGGACCTAAACCCTCTCATGGCTGTCGGCGCAGGCATGTCTGGTGGCGGTGCCCCCAATCCTACCATGCTCAACAACTACCCTCTCCGAAAGCACAAATACAACGAGGTTCTTTCAAACCTACGAGTTGTTATGATTGAGAAGATGGTCCGACCTGAAGAAGTCTTGATTGTCGAGAACGACGAGGGTGAAATTGTCCGAGAGTTCGTCAAGGAGAGTGACACCGTGCAGCTGTACAAGACGATCCGAGAGTGCCTGGTGTACCTGACGCATTTGGACGTTGTCGACACGGAGAACATTATGACCGAAAAGCTTGCCAGACAGGTTGATGGCAGCGAGTGGTCTTGGCACAACTGCAACGTTCTTTGCTGGGCTATCGGATCCATTTCTCTGGCCATGAACGAGGAGACCGAGAAGAGATTCTTGGTCACGGTTATCAAGGACTTGCTAGGCCTCACTGAGATGAAACGCGGCAAGGACAACAAGGCTGTGGTCGCCAGTAACATTATGTATATTGTCGGCCAGTATCCTCGTTTCCTCAAGGCGCACTGGAAGTTCCTCAAGACAGTTGTCAACAAGCTGTTTGAGTTCATGCACGAGTCGCATGAGGGTACGTTGTTGACCTTGGGTCAGCTGTCATTTGAAGTACGCTAACAAGATACTACAGGTGTACAAGACATGGCTTGTGATACTTTTATCAAGATTGCCCGGCAGTGTCGACGACACTTTGTTGCTCTCCAACCTAGTGAGCAGGAGCCCTTCATTGAGGAGATTGTCCGTAACATGGGCAAGATTACCTGCGATTTGACCCCTCAGCAAGTCCACACATTCTACGAGGCTTGTGGCTACATGGTTGCTGCTCAGGGTAACAAGCATCAGCAGGAGCGACTTCTCTCCGACCTCATGGCCATTCCTAATGCCGCTTGGGACGAAATTATCAAGCAAGCAACAGTTAACCCCTCTATCCTCCAGGATGCAGAGACTATCAAGGTTATTGGAAACATCATGAAGACCAACGTTTCGGCTTGTTCATCTGTGGGATCCTACTTCTATCCCCAAATCGGCCGTATCTACCACGACATGCTCCAGATGTACAATGCTACAAGTACACTGATTTCCGAGGCTGTGGCCCGCGATGGTGAACTGGCTACCAAGATGCCCAAGGTCCGAGGTCTCCGAACTATCAAGAAGGAGATTCTCAAGCTCATTGAGGTGTATGTTGATAAGGCAGAAGACCTCCAGGCTGTCCGTGCCCAGATGGTCCCTCCTCTGCTGGACTCTGTTCTGGTCGACTACAACCGCAACGTTGCTGGTGCTCGAGATGCCGAGGTGCTCAAGGCTTGCTCCACCATCATCACTAAGCTCTCCGCTTTGATGGAAGACCAGGTTCCTACCATCATGCAGAACGTCTTTGAGTGCACCCTGGAAATGATTAACAAGGACTTTTCAGAGTTCCCCGAGCACCGAGTGGAGTTCTTCAACCTCCTCCGCGCCATCAACTTGCACTGCTTCCCGGCACTTCTTAAGCTCGATAACAACCAGTTCAAGTTTGTCATCGACTCGTGCTCGTGGGCTTTCAAACACGACAACCGAGATGTCGAGGCTGCCGGTCTCAACATGGCTCTGGAGCTGATTAACAACATCGCCGAGAAGACCGACGTTCAGACCGCCAACGCTTTCTTCCAGCGATTCTTCATCACCATCCTTCAGGATGTGTTCTTCGTCGTGACCGACAACGACCACAAGGCCGGTTTCAAGACACAATCCATGTTGCTGATGAAGCTATTCTACTACATCAACCCTGCCGACGGCACTCAGCCCAAGATTCAGGGACCCATCTACAGCCCTGATCAGGCGCAAGCCGGAACTGATAACCGAGAGTTTGTTGCCAACTTTGTTGCTAACCTCTTGCAAAATGCCTTCCGCAACTTGCAAGCGTACGTTTCACCTTTCTATTTCCATCAATATGTTACAATGCTAACACTCAAACAGAAACCAGATTCAGAGCTTTGTCGAGGGTCTGTTCACGCTCAACACGCAGTACGATAAGTTCCGTCTCAACCTTCGTGACTTCCTCGTCTCCCTCAAGGAGTTCGCCGGCGACAATGCCGAGCTGTTTGTCGTCGAGAAGGAGCAACAAGAGCAGGAGGCTAAGAATGCCGATATGGAACGACGACAGAAGGTTGGAGGTCTCCTCAAGCCCTCAGAGCTGGACGACGAGGAGCTATGACTGAACGAAGAACTACGGTCCGAGTTTGCGCCCCAAATTGCTGATGAAGCAGGGTCGACGGATGCAGCTGGGGATGGATGGGAGTTTTATGGACTTTGAAGACTTTGCTAGAGTCGCGGCCCGTCAACTGATTCATCCACCCCACGCACGTCGAAGCACCTCGTCCAAGCGAATTTCTTTCCTGTTATGATACCATATTCTTTCCATAGAAGAGTGGCCAGCCGCCTGCCCATGCCCAGCGCGACGCCCTAGTCTAAATCGGCACCCCCTTGGAAGTTCCAAGTGGGAGAATTAAAGAGAAAAAAAGAAAAAAAAGAAAAGATGAAGGGGCCGTGTTTGAGTTTCTCGTGGGCGATAGTTGTTTGAGTCTACGATCCGACGATTTCAGCGCTCGACGAAGTTGTCACCTGCGCTCTGTTGTGAATCGAATAAAGAGAAACGATATACTGATACAGATCCAGAATACGGTGTCTGCAGGCGGAAAAAGACGATGGCACATGTAGATATTGTTATAGTTTGTACTATGGATAATTGTCTTGTCAAAGAGAAAAGAAAAGGCGAGAGTGTTTTGTTAATTGTGTTTATGAATGTCTCGCCCACTGGATTGAGTTGTTCATTCCAAATCACCGTCTACTGTGAAACTTGTGAAGTAACGTGTTTTTACTCAATAGGCTGTGTCTCTCAAGTGGTACTGTTTCAATTCTGCACCCACCATAGCGGTCATCCAGCCCAGGTAGATAGCGCAGGATCCATACGAGTCAAAGTGAACGCTTTTAGGTACATGTACATACAGTAAATATAGTGAGCCTCTCAGATCCTTTCACACTTGATTGTTCTCCAACTCCTGTAGCGGCCACCGCAGAGCTTCTTGCCAGTAACTCCCAAGATGGCCAGCAATGAGATGTATCAAAAATGCACCCGAATCTCCAACTATCCATACGTGGCGGCATCGATGGAGTAAGACGCCGTAGTATGCCAATACCAATAATGCCTCCGGTCGATGTTTGCGAATAGCTTCCACAAAGTCTTCGTGCAAGACGACAGGAAATGCTGACACTGCTTGCACATTCCTACTTGACGGTAGGTTACGATATACGTTGTAAGCCCATTGCAATGTGTGGGCAGCATTATTGCATGCTTCCACTGTCGTAGGGCTTAGATCAGAGTGCTGGATGAGGTCTATCAATGGAGTGCACTCGTCTCCCTTGTAACCGTCTGCTGCGTCTCTGACTTCAAGAAAGAACTTTGCCAAGGGGGTTTCAAGGAGGTCGTTGTAACGGTCCGAGGTTGTAGACCGAACGCCACGATGTAGGTAAACCGACTCGCAGAACCTCTCTATAAAGATGTGGAAGGAGGAGCGATATTGAGTGAGTGTGTCGTACAGCATATGCAAGCTTAGTAGAGAGGAGAAGAGGAACCGGGGGATGTAGTATGTGTCATGGCTAGCTAGCTCTTGAGCATCCTTGTTGAAATATGTGAGGGCACGTGTTTGAAGCTCCGTGGCCATCCGGCGATATGAAGCTGCATTTTCGGGATGAAGCACAGCCAGATGGTCTGCTGATAGGGCGAGTACCTGGTCCAATGCGTAAGGAGCTTGTGAGGACCATTCAAGAGCAATATCGAGAATAGTGTCTATACTATCAGCGCCGAGAAGTGCTGCCTTGCGGAAGTGATGTAGAAGGATAAGATGCTTGTTGTTGAAGACGAGCCGAGGAAAAGCAGAAGAACCTTGGGTACTATCTGGTTGCGGTGTTGATATAGGTGACTCAGCAAAATCCGTGGCAAAAGATTCTGTGAAAGAAGGCAATATCGTCGAAGGGGCCCGTTCAGTGGCGTTTAGGCCATATCCAAGATACGATGGGGGCGGTATTGACGAGGGAGGATGTAAAGCCCCTGTACTCGAGACACTGTCAACAGGACTCTGCAGCCGACTACCGCTATTACTCGTACTGGTCAAAGCCTCATTGAAGGATGGAGTGGCAGCAGATATAGATGGTTCAGGCTGAGCGGAAGTAGATCCCGGTGCGGCTGAAGGAGGGAATGAACAACTCCTCTCACTAACGGTACAGTTGCCGCAAACAGGGCGCTTTTCATCGCATTTGATGTGCCGCCTCTTACACTCCAAGCAACCATTGCGGGACTTGCGATGGCGTCTTCGGAGCTTAGCCACCGAGGTCTTGTCCTCGGCGGCGGGATTAGAATGGGGATTCGGATGCATCGGAAAGGAAACAGTTTGAGTATGAGATGTGGTCTAGAGTGAGAATTGGTTGTTTAGATCAGATCAGATCGGTAGTATCATGACTAGTAGTTCAACCTTGAATTGTGTGTTGTGATTGGTCAACGACTCTCTCGGAAAATATGTATAGATTCGCTGATCGGTGTATATGAAGCGTTCTGATTGTTTTGTCCAGGTTTAGGTTTTCTATTTTTTTTTCGCTCGAAAACGATGGTGCTAGCGACCAGGGATCTAGGTAGTAGATACCCATTTTGAGCGAGGCGCAATAGTACCACGTATGCCTCTGAGCCAGCATTGACTAAAGTTCAGTTACTGGTAGTAGCAGAGCCTCTTTAGGACATAAACACAAAACAACCAAGACATCCCTGTTATTTCCTGCTATTTCATACTCTTCGGAGCATTGCCAGAAAGACCCAAGCTCTCGAAGTCGTTGCTTTCTCTAGAACTTACACATTCGCCATCAAGTTCATGTGAACACATTAGGAAGCATCATGAAGGGAGTAACGACCTATCGCTTGTGTAGTCATTCATTTGATCAGACTCTTATCTGCTGTTAAATATATCTGCAGGTAGCACAGCCATCACTTACACAGGAAAAGCAAATACGCGTTTGTCGGATTCAGCTCGAATTTTCGTATTCAGCAATTCACCCTATACGCGTATAGCTGTGCTAAAACGGTGTAATATCTAACATGCCTATAATGCCCACAATCACAAATACACTTCCAATGCATTCCGCCTTCAGGTAACCAAATGACATTATTGTTCCAAAATTCGGGGTATATTCTGTCTAATCGTCGAACCCTTTAAACTCATCGTCTTTTCCTTCCTTGGCTGCCGCAGCCTCAGCAGCAGCCTTTTCACGAGTTTGTCTCCGAACCTCAGCGATCAGATCGTTCAGCTCCGTCTGCTTGACCTTTTCGTCATCAGTCATCTTGGATGTTGCTTCAGCCTCACGACGCTTGCGTCGCTTCTCCCTTCGCTCCACTCGCTCGTCTTCCTTCTCATGCTTAGCGCTCCAAGCCTCGTTGTTCTTCCGCTTACGTTTAATCTCCTCACTCTTATCTTGCTTCTTTGCGCCAGACTTCTCCTCCTCAAGAGTAGCCTTTCGCTGTTGTTCGCGAGTCTTCTCCTTGTAAGCGTAGTTGTCCCAGTCGATCTCAAGACCACACATCTTGTCGCCTGTCCAGCCCTTAAGTTCAGGCATTCGAGGCATACGTAGCAATCCCCACGCATTGCCGAGATCAGCCCAGTCGAGATCAGCCGCACGGAAGATAGACGTAGCCTGGTGAGCGCCATAACTTCGAGCCCAGCTCACGAATGCCTTTTGAGCCTTGTCGAACAGACCCCTGTCGGTTAATACGAGATCTCTCATCTTCTTGGCAGCTTCGACGGCATCATCCTCTGATGTGGTGATGGCAGGTTTTTCCAATGGTACGATTGGTGTTTTGCGGATCTCCAGAAACTGAACGTAGTCTTCTTCCCTTCCAGGGTGCAACATCACCACCGCCAATCCTTTTCGGCCGGCGCGACCAGCTCGTCCGCTGCGATGAATAAAGACCTTGGGATCTGAAGGTGCATCGATTTGAACAACCAGGTCAACTTGAGGAATATCCAGACCACGGGCAGCCAGATCGGTAGTAAGTAATATCGTAGGAGAAACAGAGTTGAGGAATTTGTTGAAGTTCTTTTCTCGTACTTTAGATGCATGCTTTCCGTGCAAGGGTACCAGCGCAAAACCCTCAGGTAGTATCAGAGGCAGAACATGCTGGAAGTAGTCGACGGCGGCGCAAGTGGACAGGAACACGATACTCCGTTGGGGTCGTACAGGTAGTTGTCGCAAAAGCTCAGCAAGAGCAGGAAGTTTCTGGCTGGCAGGTTTAACCATATATGTCATCTGAAGACTGGCTGGCGTTTTTCTGTCCTCGAGAATACCACCGCCCTTCATCTTAACCTTGACCTCGATCTTGACAGGGTTTCGCAGGCCAACTCGAATAATCTCCCCAACAGCTTCGCTTACACTAGCGCTGAAGAGACCAGTTCTTCGCTGTTTCGGCAAATGCGACAGGATCTTTTGAAGGTCAGGCTTGAAGCCAAGATCAAGGAGACGGTCGGCTTCATCGAGGACGAGCACCTCAAAAGAGGATTGGGGACAATGGACGTGAGGCGAAGATAGGAGCTCGACGAGTCGACCAGGCGAGGAAATAAGAACGTTGGGACTGTGCCGAATGAAAAACCTGAGGTCTTGTGCGGTAGTCGTTGTACCACCAACCAACAATTGGGGCACAATCGCAGGTACAGTAGTTGAAGGACGCTTTTCCTCGTCGTCTTTGAGATGGGGAAGGATTTCGGCAGAGGCCTCTTGGAACTTCAAGAGGTTGAGAAGAACAGTATGGATCTGAGCAGCCAATTCTCGCGTAGGAGATACAATTATAGCGGCGACGTGATGCTTTTTCGTAGGTTCGCTAAGTCGGAGAAGTTTTTGAACGAGCGGAATGAGGAAGGCAAGGGTTTTTCCACTACCAGTGACAGCCTATCAAGATGTCAGAATGTCAATTACACCCTGGAAAGACCGTATTGCTCATACCTCGACTACAACATCTTTGTTTCCCATGAAATGTGGCATTGTTGCAGCTTGAACGGGCGTCATCTGGTCGAAGCCCATAGTTGCGACAGCATCTCGAATCCATTCTGAAAGAGGAGGATTGAGATTATCCCAAGCTCTGGGGCTTCTCTTCTTAGTCTTTTCGGTAGCCATAATCAGCCAAGATTCAACAAGACCAATGTATGGTTACTATAGAAAGTTATTAGTTGGACAGTATATCACAAATCCAAGGCGCATCGACGGACCGTCTTTGACATTCATCTTTTGCGCGAAACATTTCTTGAAATCTTTATCTTATCGACACGTGATCCCCATTCGATGGAGCTAATGTTTGTGGCGCAGGCGGGGTGAAGATGTGGCGTTTTCTGACGTCTCCCTGTCACAGCACGTGCTTATTTAGAGAAGCATTACAGCTCAGATGATGTGGGATTTGACACGGTCCCTGAAAATGAATGATTTAATCTAGGGTGAAGATTTGGCAGGCAGTCAGGTGACGTGGCTTGGCTTGAAATCTGAATTGGTATTGGATAAAAGTCAAGCCAGACAAGATGACGGAAGAGCCGGGACGGGATACAACTTGAATGCGTGGTGGAAACAGTTAATCTTGTTTTTAATTTCATATGCTTGCTTTTTTCACATGGAAGCTGGTGAGACTTGTAAAACAATACTTTACCAAATCTTTACATGAGTATAACTTCAAAACCGAGGTGTTCTTTCAAAAAGAGGACCCTCTCGTAGACCATCACATGCTTAAATCTGTATACATGTGCTATTATATACCTTGTAAAAGGCGGTGTCCCACTATGAACGGGATACGGAATTGAACGCCACAGATACGTATCTCTCGAGACCCAGAATGAAGGAAAAATCTCCAACCGTTGTAGCCAAAGCCAAACTTGATCGATACAGACGAATACTATCCAACAGAAACCTCGCCCTTCTGCGTTAGTTCCAGTATCCTCTTTTAACCCATTTCCAGTGTCACGCGACTTATCTTTACCCTCTCCGACTCTCATTTCCTGCTTGTCTCAGCGCCCCCGTCACCTGGTATCAGCCGCCATTCTCACACGCACGCCCACCTACGTTAGTACTCTACTGTACTATTTTGACGGTACTGTACATGTGTGCGTGCCCCGGTCATCGACGTCTTATACCTCCGAACCCATCATGCGGCGGGGGATCCAACCTCCGTTGCACCCTTGTTAATCAATCTGGATTCAATAAATATTCAATCTCCCAAATCAAAATCTCGGCCAAAACGTAGTCCGAGTCCCCCGAAGCGGAATAGGAATTCGAGTCAGAGCCTGAGCCCGAGTCAGGGTTACGGCTACCAAGACCAACTACATCACCAGCATCATCCTCCGCAGCAACAACAACAACAACAACAACAAGACAATCTTGGTACTGAGCATAACGGCCAGTCACTACGCCACAACCAGCGTCGACATAGCCACGACGACACGGACGATCACATTCTGGACCCTGGAAAGCGACAACATAATCGTCCCGCTCACGGATCCTCCCACTACGACACCCCAAACACCTTCACCATTTCCTCCCCATCAGAACCCATCACGACGGAGCGCTCATCGCGCCGTGATAAATATCTCCACTCTACAATACCCAATACTTTCTGGCCTCCTGGCTTCAACAGTCTCCGACGTATAGTTGTCGGTGCCATCTACTGCTCCGCGCTCCCGCCCTTCTCACTCACCATGTCGTCCCGATCTAAAATCCCGGAGACGCCCCGTGTCATCTCGCCGAGTCCCACCCCCTCCGAGCGCGACGCCTCCGACTACATGGGCCCTGTCACACGTTCCGCAGCCCGGAGACGGACACCCACTCCCCAGCCGCTTGAAGAAGACCCAGATGAGGATCTGCCCGAGCCCCCCGAGTTTCGACGGGCCCGAACCCGCAGCCGCTCGCCGATCGATACAAATGCCGTGACGCGCTTGACAAAGCGGACAAGCACTGCTGCAAAGGCGGGCAATATATCCAAGAATGCCATTCCAGAAGAGCAGGATCCAAATGGCGCCCTGAACGGCAACGGCAATGGGAAGGCTTCCACATCAAACGGTCATCTTGCGCCTCCTCAACCCACAACGCCAATAGGATGGTCCTGGCGCGACTTCAGTCGCAGTCCCAGTCCACTCGGTTTGATTCCCATCCACCGACACTGGAGAACATTTGTGCACAAGCACGAGGTACCCCGCAAGGTGCTGCACGTATCGATTGGATTCTTCGTCATTTGGCTTTACGTGACTGGCACCCAGACAACCTCAGTGACTCCATGGCTCATGTCAGCGCTCATTCCTATCACGACGGTCGACTGGCTCCGACACCGATACGCTTCTTTCAACCGCTTTTACGTCAAGGCTCTGGGTGCTCTGATGCGTGAGAGCGAGTACTCCGGCTGGAACGGTGTCATCTTCTACCTTTTGGGTGCCTGGATCGTTCTCTACGGATTCCCCAAGGATATTGGTATCATGAGTGTTCTCCTTCTCAGTTGGTGTGATACAGCTGCTAGCACCTTTGGTCGACTTTGGGGCCGATACACTCCTCGCCTTCGCAAGGGCAAGTCTCTCGCTGGCTCTACCGCTGCGTTCCTCGTTGGCGTCGCTACATCGTACTTCTTTTACGGCTGGCTCGTGCCCACCATCGGCCCTTTCCCTGGCGACGAGAACTTCATGTTCAAGGGCATTCTTTCGTTGCCCAAGACCATCTGCGAAGCTGTCGGCGTTTCGCAGCAGCAAACCACCATCTCTGGCGCAGTCGCCCTGGGCGTTATGAGCATCTGGTCTGGCTTCGTGGCTTCTGCCAGTGAAGTCGTAGACATCTTCGGCTGGGATGACAACCTCACGATCCCCGTCCTTAGTGGTATTGGTATCTGGGGATTCCTCAAGGTTTTCTCATAGACTATCAAGTCTTGCCAATAGAGGGCATGACAGCATCTTATGTGCATACACAAGTCGTTCTCTCTCTCTTATCAGATGACGGCGCATATGAGACATTGACAAGCGCATACATGGAGCGCATTAGTCTGGCATTGTACATGCATCAGGGGCATACGCATATACTCTACTCTCTCCCCTCGTTTCCCCATCCGTTTTTTGTTTCTTACTCCTTCTTCGCTGTGAAACGATGATCATTCTAGCATGGGTCTGCTGGAGATGGAGTTTACATCGGTCTTTCGGGAACTTTGTTTTTCTTTGTACTTTTTGAGCTAAGCTTGCGAGATGGGGATGATGCGCAGAAGAGAAAGGGGAAGCTAATCCCCCGTACACAAAAATATTCATCATTGTTATCCGCTTTGGGTACGTGGCCGCAAACCTTGGTTTTGGGGCTTGCATGCGGTGTTACATCGGGAGAATATATATATATATATATACTACATATATTCCTTGGGGCAACGGTGGGAAACCTTTGGAATAGAAACTGGAGCGGGAACGGAACGGGCATGGTCAGGTGTGATATCCTAGGTACAGGTAGATCGAACGGAATTACATAGGTATCTTGTTTAAATAATGAAGACGAAACGCATCTCCTTTTTTTTTTGTCGGCAAAGGTCAGGCATCATGACAATCCTGTGATGAACGGTCAGGTTCCGCCAAATTTGACGTCTGTTGTACAAACGCCGTACGACATTTCGTATTTCTTCTCAGTCTCTCCCTGCTCAACGGTCTGACTGATACGTTGGTACCACGAGGTATCCAAGCAAAGGATTCCGGTGATAGTTACAACTGCCTAGGCTGGGAGTACGTTTCACCGCGTGCGTCCAAGGCTCAATAGGATGGACAAAAGGGTTCGGGATGCCAATCATCCGGGATTGGGTTGAGTTGCACAGGAATGTTTAAAAAGGGTTCTTTTTTGGCATTTCGGGAGAATTACCCTGGGCATGGTATTTTGTCTCTCGGTTAAGTCCGGTCGTTGAGAGTTGACTTACACGACATTGATCATGACGGCGGGGGAGGGAGAACGGGAGCATGGAAGTCTTTCTCAACACTGGCAGGGGGGCGAGCTCTGCTTACAAGATGGTTGCCTACGTCACGAATTATCAGACGAGATGCAAGATGATTTTGAGTGATTTGTTTAACCAAACCCCTTGTGCATTGAGTGAATACTACCTATGTAGCTGGGCATGTGTAGATAGAAATGCTTGTCGTTGACAGTAGTTAAGAGTAGGTAGATTGGATATTAATTCCTCCGGCGGCAAAGCCTCACATCCGTTCACACCATCTTTTTAATGAGAAGAAAATTCCATTTAGTTTGCTTCTCTCTTTAAAGCTATCATCCTATAAGATGGTGCCCCATCATCAAACCCCCCTGTACAGAGTTGCATCTTCCCCTCCGTGTGCCTGGGCCACGCCTTGCCGCACACAACGGCGCTGAGTTGTCCGTGCGTGATGGAGGGAGGCGTGTAGGTTTATAATATCTGAGGGCATGTACAGATACGCTTGGACAGCTATGTTGCAATAAATTTTCTCTCTTTGTAATTTGTTTACTTTCTGTCGAGTAATTCCAGTCCAAGAACAAAAAAAGTAAGTGACATGATCAACTGTCAATGGCTTCCTCAAGTGGAGATTGTGGATGCGTTGTTAAAGTACATAGGAACAACACCCGCCCTGCCATGCAATGCAAATGCAATGCGATGCAATGCACTGCAGGACAAAAGCACTCGGCTTCTTGTGGAGGAACGAGCCACCCGTGCTTCGATTCTTTCCAATCTCAACGAATCTCGCATTAGCATTCGGCTCCAGTCATCGTCTACAGGTTCATCTCGTGGCCATTACCTCAAATCGATCAGTTTAAGGCGGGCAGATCAGACGACTTCAGTGGATTCCGGGAAAGCAAGTCATCAAAGCACAGCAGCTTGAGCTCGATCTGACATACAGCTTTCAGCACAGGGCTCGCAAGTCATGCCACCTAGGTGATGGGCTCCCGAGCTTGATGGTAGGACTGGCTATCCAAAGAGTATCGAGACGCGATCATCAGAAGCGCACACAGCTAATAAAATCACGAGATGTTGGAACTAGGATGATGCTCGTTTGGTACCGATGGTTATCGGCTGTAGCGCAAAGGGATTCCAAGTCCGGAGACGCAGTAATGGTGAGACAGGAGAGCGAGTCGCTGTGTTTCACGATTAAAGCAGCAACCCGCATCGGGTGTGCATGAGCCGTGACAGCTTCTGAGAGCTTAGTGATGGCTTCATATTGTTAAGAGCGGGTGGCCACAGGAACCGTTGGAAGACGTGTCACGGTGGCTTCAAGTACCGTGGGAATGGACAAAGGCAGTAGGTGCCGCTGCTGCAGAGTCCAGAACTGCCACCGTTGAGTTGCAGCCTTGAAGCTGCACAGAAATGGGGCATCGTCTCCATTCGTAGGTGTCAGTCAACCAGACGGGCAGGCCGTGGTGCTCCAACCTTGCGCAGGATGTTGGTTTTGTTGCAGGGCTCGCGTCCGTTGCAGGAAGCTATCTGCTCCCTGATACATGATCAATGATACCATTGCTCCAAGATGTCGACATCAAGTGCTACAGTGGCTGTTCATGTCTTATGTTGTAGGTTATCATGGGACATCTGAAGACGTCAATCGAGCGTTAGATACCTAAGTATCTACCATCGCAAGCCGTCAGGGTCTCGTTGTCGGATAAGAGACTGGGGATCAATTGGATATCTGGTAGTCATAGTGCCCGGTGCTGACCCTCGGAACACCTCGATAAACATTATCCCTTTCATAAGTGTACGAAAAGTCGGTCATAGAGTCCGTACTCTACTGCCCACAGGTCTGAAGCTAATAGACACAGCTTGGAGAAACCTCCAGGCATGTACCCTGTCACAGAAGTCCTAAATCAGCCGGGTCATTGCTCACCAACTTAATTGAGGTGGTGGATGGTGGATCTCGCCTTGTTGCCTTGTGGTGAGTGATTGTCAGTGACGAAGCGGGGGAGGGGCGAGTAAGAGCAGAGAAAGATAAAAGAACCATTGTAATTTGCACCGGAAGCAATCATGATATTTGCCTGAGCATTGTCCAATTAGAACAGAAAGACTTGACCGGTCTTTTCCATAATTGGAGTAGAAGATACTCGGCGTAAAAACATACGAGACAGAGGCGAGAAGGACAGAAACAACAGAACTCAGACATGAAGCATGTTGAAGGTCGTGTTGTAGTCGTGATAGTGGATCCTTGGAGTTGTGTTTTTGAGCAATGGATTTCGCAGTTGCACAAATTCCAGTAATTACATCAATTGTTGAGCAAAGTCATGTCAAACAATACAATGAAAGGTCAATGAGGCTCTGCTTAATTGAAAATTTTACAAGGCACGTGGAACATATTGGAGTAGCAATAAAGAAAAAGCAAGTCAAGCCAAAAATGGTGACAGATGGAAGGAATGCCTGCTCATTCTGTCATCAGCATCAGCATCAGCATCAGCAGCAGAGAGATACTTGTTCTCACGCGGTAGGTACGTTGCCCATACGTACCTTCCCCCACCATCCACCACCCTTCATCTTCAATTCCGCCTTAGCTAAAGGTTCTCTAAAGGCTTCCACTACGTACAGATTGCTCCTGCCAGCAAAATGGCACACCATTTCCAGGAAGTACCCTCAAACAGGGCAGGAGGCAGGGCCCCCAGTCAATTGACTTGACATCCACCATTACCTACCCTGACCCCTCGATCGGGTCCCTGGAATTCAGTACCGTCCCTTGTCAAATGTCAGTCAATCCATTAATCCTTCCCACCGTCACAGCAACGTCTGGTAATTATTTTGACAACGCATCAACTCCTTACTGTACTTTCTTTGTATAATTGTAGAGAAGGACAATGCCAAAAATTGCCCGACTTGCTGCAGCTCTACCCGACCCGCCGCCTTGCGTTCGCTTCTCAAGCCACACCCTGTAAACTACTTCTCGTGGACCAATCCTCGCCTAGTTCATTGCATGGTGTCTATCTTGACCATCGCAGGTCATCGCCTCTTCTCCTCTTGTCGACACGGCCGAGCTTTTCTGGTAAAAACGCCGAACCATGAGGGAAAATGCAACTGGATGGGGGGTGTGGGCAACTTTGCGCTTCAACATGGAAATCCAAGGCTGCTTTTCCTTCAACTTGGTCTTTTTTGGCTTTCCTTAGCGTCAGCGCGCTTGTTTGCGACTCTCTCCGCTCTATCTCGTCTCCATCCAAGGTGCTGCCTGTTCCCCTGTAACAGGGTACAAGACGCGCAGTTCCAGTGCATGCCAAAATTACACAGCGGATACAACAAGGAAATTTGCAGTTCCCGGTATCCGCAATTTCTGCTCAGTCCATCGTCGCTCAGAAGCTGAAATCTGATATGGCGGTGGAATGCCAAGAGTCTTGTGGGCAACCAATGTATTTTTTCTTTCAGCGCCCACCACCAATATTACCCGCTACTCCAAACGGTACCGGAAGCCGGCCGATTCAGATGTGTTCTATATGGTACAGATATGTATTGTGAGGGTGTGGGCATTGGTGTCTACTCAACTTACCTAGGTCCATCTAGCCTAACACTTAGCCAGTCAGCGTCAGTCCCATCATCCATTGCGCTGTCCGTTTGGCTCATTCTTACCACGATCCGTCTACCTGCTTCCAGCACGCTACAGTACTGTATGTATGTACTAATTATCACCAAAAAGCAGCGAGCCAGCCTAGTGTACGCCGGCCAGGTCCCTCACGTCACTCGGTCACGAACCCAATCCATGCCTGGCCTCGACTTGCATCTTCCGCTGCCCAACTACCGACTTATTGTACCTCTACGCTCAGACGACCAACACGCCGGGTTTAAACGAGCCCGTCAAGCAAATATCGGTGGGAAAACGCACCGATCGTTTTTTTGCCCCCAGACAAGTTCTATACATGGCTCTTATCCCTTCTCAACACCTGGGTCCAAGGGCTAGTGCAGCCACTTGTGTCCATTGATGGACCCGGATATGCATGGCATATTAGTAGCATCTTACTTTCTTGAGCCTTTCTACTGGTATAGCATACGGTCTGGGTTGTTCCCTTTCACTTCGGGTCTTTTGTCGGTCTCCGCTCCAGCACACAGATGTATTTTCTCTTTCCGTTAACTGTCCACACATGCCATCGTCATGTACCTGCCTGATGTCTTTGACACAGAGCTATTGCCTTTTCGAGCAATATCCCAGTCTTATTCCTAAATCTGTCCGGTAGATGTCGGTTTGACCTCAAGGCGGTCTCCATTTTTCCAGTTTCTTAATTGTTACATCTTACATCTATGATTGCGGTCTTTGCTTTCGGCATATGCACATGCCCTTGCTCATCCTGGGCTGGCCTTGTTACACCCAGCCAACGGCGTAGCTTAAAACGTTTACAATTTCAACGTCACTGCATTGCTAAAGCAGAGACCCCGAAGCATGTTGAAGCCACACACTTTCCTTTTCATTTCTTACGCTTTTTATCATATTCAACCGTTTTCCTTTCTCTAACTTCACCCTCCCCGTAAAGCCCTATCTCAACCATGTTTCTTTACTCTTCTCTTTCGTTGGCCCAGTTGTCAAACAGCCATTCATCTCGGATAAGTCTCTGTACCATTTCATGACCCTTCCAAGACTCCTTTGCCGCTCCTAGCCTCCCTAGTCACCCTCCTATTAGTCCTAGCTTTGAAGGTTTGTTACCTTCACGACCTTGTCGTTGCTGTCCGTGATGGCCCACACCTCTGCATCTCGTCGTGATCGTCTCGTCTAGCCCATCGATCACCTCTCAACCATGCCATTATCCTGTAACATCCCATTACACGCCCTCATGAGCGGGGTTGCTCATCGACTGTTGACGAATGGTGTCAGGATGAGTTATCCTCAAGTTGTTCCGGTCTGGCTGTTGAGGGTCCCAGAAAAAGTATAAAAGGGCGAGAGTTGATCGAGTTGAAGGTTTATTCTTCTTCTTCCTTTCTCATCACTCTTCAATCAACTTTCAAACTGAAGTCCCAACTTGCCCGGTTCTCATACACAATCCACTTGACTTGTTGTCTTGATACACAACTCTCTACCTCAACTGTGCTTCACTTCTTCACAATCAACCTGCTCAACGTTGAGCCATCACCAGAACCAATTCTCAAAACATTCAATTGACATAACCACATCTTCTTCTATTCTCAATCATCATCATGTCTTCTCATTACACTTCTGTGGGCTACTCCATGCCTCTTCCCGTCCCCTCCAAGGGCTCGCAGTACCCCACCTACAGTCAATATTCTGTCTCGCCTCCGGAATGTGATGACTCGGTTAGCTCCGCCTCGGGCATCCCCTCTTACAGCAATGGTGGGTACTCGGCTACCTCGTCCGGCTACACATACTCTGGCGGATACAACGACTATGAGAGCACTCGCTCTGCTAGCGGCGTGGACTTCCAGGAGTACATGCAGGACCGCTTTGCCAACTCCTTCGACCCAATCCCTCTTGACCGCAGCATGGCTATGCAAGCTCAGACGTAAGTGGATCTATCCCACCATCAATCCCACAGCAAATCCATGTTTGGCTATCGGTAGCTGCATGTGAAATACACTAGCTCGCCGCAAATGGTCTACGGGATTCCATTGATGCAGTACTGACTCCTGAACAGATCCGGAAAGATGAACGCCAAGCACCGAGAGCTCATGGAGCTGCAGAAGAAGGCGCAGGCTCGTCTTGCAAAGACACGAGAGCGCTTCCAGGAGGGTATGCGCGATGCTCATGAGGTCCGCAGCGACCTTGAATGGACACAAAAGAAAGTCAGGTGAGTCAAAACTGAATCGATGCATTTTCGGGCATTTATTGTGAATACAAGCGTAGCTTTTATTGCAACAAATTTGAAATGCATCAATTACAGATTTGTGACCTGGCAACTAACCAAATTTCACAGCTCGCTCAAGACCAAGGCTTCTCGCAAACATGGCAAGGAGTACAGCAAGGCTCGCGCCCGTTACCCATCTCCTGAGAACTAGATTCTCTAGATTTCACTTTCTTTGGAGCGGCATCTTTACTTTTACAACAAAATTTCCTTTCAGCGAGCAACTTTTATTCGCAATCAACTCACCAAAGTTTCGCACATAAAACACGTTTCCGCAGAGAATGCGGAACGCGAGACAATCGGATTTCTGATATCTCAATTGAGATCTTGTTTACTATTTAATTTTACGAGCATCCCACGACACCCACATGTTCAACGTGCATGAACGAGTAGTTCATGCAAGGGGAATGTGAGGTGACGTTAGAATCAGGGGCACTAAGCGCGGCAAATTGAGCCGCCTGGCGCGAGGTTCTTGCTACCTTTGCTAAAAGCAGCAGGGCAATTATGCGGGCGGCATTTAGCCAGGAACGCCAACCTCGCGGCCACTGGAGCCAGTGTGGGGGAAAGACGCAGAAGAAGCGAGAATGGGCGACTGTTTCACGACTTACGGCTTATGATTGGATGAACTGAACGATTTAGGGGCGATTGTTAAAAGTACACCTCCTCCCAAGCATCTGTGGGGGTGTTAGGGAATAGCGTCAGCAGGTTGGCAGCAAAACATGATGTGTCGGCACCGATTGCTGCAAGGGCAGCAGGGTTGGCAGCATCTCTGGAGTATGGGTGACGCGGGAACAGCCGAGGATTGCAAAGTCGACCGACTTGTCGGGTTCGTTGAGGGGTGTGTATTGAGTGATATACCCAGGGAACCACTACAAAGACGATGACGGTTTGGAAAATAGTAGCGAGTTTGCATAGCAGTGTATTTGGGACGCTTGCCCTAATCAGGGGAGGCAGCAATGTGAAAACTGCTCCATTGGGTAACACTGGGAGCTGGAGAGCTGATGGAGCCGTATTGGGCAAGGCAAGGGTCTGTAAGAAGATTTTCTTTGTGGGTATCTCAACCGGAGTATGGAGTCTACCAGTTCTCATAGCAAGCAACATCTCTTTTCCCCTCTTTGACTGACGGCGTGTCTCCGTAACTGATGTGATAACCCCCCCGTAGATGTGATTGTTTTGCTTCCCACACCCCTCCAGGCTATTTCTGAGCCAGTCTAAGTGAGGTAGCACGTGTGGTCTGAGGTATGTTGGTGTAGTGAGTCGCTGTGCTGTCGCCGTAATGCTTGAGGAGGTTGGAAGACCCCTGTTTCTTTCAATATCACGTGATCTTGCACGTGATATAAACCTTGTATATCAAGGCTCATCCATCTCGATGATCAAACATAAAGGTGAGGATACAGTGGTCGTGCTCTAAAACACCATGCTGGGTGTTTGAAGTGAGCTATTGATTCAGTCGATATGCTCCGTTCGTCTCCCTTATCCCTCACTGTCGTATCTTCCAATATTGATATCTCAAGCTGGTGCAACAGCTGTCGTCGTAGCATTGGCTTTTTCCAGGGGCACCCACGTTCCTCGTGTCGTCAAGCCGCGAGCCTTCTCAATCCTCTCCCAGGGATTCGCATTAGACAGACTGTCATAGTACCCAATGTACCAATCATCCCTGCGCTCATGTGGCACCGAGTGTTGCCCCTGTCGTGGTACAGACGCCGGCGCAGGCCGTTGAGGGAGACTAGCCGGGCGTGCTTGAGCTGAGGCTTTCTGTCCAGGTTTCTCTTTTTCGTCCTCGTTGTCATCATCATCAAGGGCGATCTCATCAGTGTTGGAGCCAGTGCCCAAGGCTGTGGAGTTTGCGCCAGTAGCGGAGGACTTTGAGGGCAGTGATGCGTCTGCGTTTGGATTATAGCGACGACGCTTTGAGGGTGGTGAAGCAGCGCCAAAGGATGAGAAGCCCATCTGAGCCATGAGGGCTTCGTCGACAGCTTCGACGTCGTTATCTGAGGAGTCCATCACAGAGAAGTGAGACTGGCTGTTCTCGATAGAAGTGGCGGTATATAATGAGACAGCTTACTAGCCCTAGGATGATTTGCTAAAATCAATGTTTGAGGTGGATGAGATGAAGTTGGATGAAACTGCGATGAGATGAAAAGAATGACTGAGGCTCGAGCGTAAATAGAATCTGGGGTCGAGACTAGTGGAGTTGTGGCGGTTGGGCATCGATTGTGGCTGAAAGCTCGTAATCGCAATTAGCCAAGCAACGGCAATTGAAGGGCAGCAAGGATTGCAAAAAATGGCATGGGTTTTATGCTCAGTAGCATAATTGACGATTCTCGGTGTCCGATGAAGTGATCGAAGTATTCATTGTTTCGTCAGAATATGCTTCAATACTTCAATATTCCGAAACTCCTATGCTTTAACTCTTACTGATATTTAATGCATCCATCAAATCAATGACATCAGACCAATATCAAGGGTATCGGTCAAAACACAAAATGGCCCGGATAGTTTATGCAGTACAAGGAGCCTTCGGAGCATTAGACGAAATTCAGCGAATGATATTAACCTTTCCCTAGTGTTTGCGTGACGGATCTGCGGCTTCTGAAGCCTGGCGTGTTTCATTCTTCGGGCGGGATAAAATTAAGTAGTACCAGTACCAGACAGGGCCCTTTATTGTCAAGGGCTTGAATTTTCATGTGAAGTTTCCTTGCTTTTTTCTTTCTTCTTTCTCTTCTACTTCATCACTTTCTTGATCTAAACATTTTACATCACACTTAACAAGTCTTGTTATTACGGACTTGAGATATAAACCCTTGAGGGATACCCATTGAAGCCCAACTAAAGCCATCGACATCATCACCATGGCGGAACAACAACCCATCAAACTCAACACTCCGACTAAATACTGCCCATCCACCAAGAAATCTCCTCCCGTAGATCCCCCCACTCTGGACTGGATCACAACAACATGGACCGTTACGCACTCTACACTTTCTATGTGGCGCGACGCCCGTAACGTGCGCATCACATACAAGATGATTCCGGGAACTGCAGACGGCCGTCCCCGCATGGATGACCTAGTCGAGTACGAGCCCTTAAACAAGGACGGTACTCGCAAGACCGTCGAGGGCGTCGACACGCAAGCGTCCGCCATCGGCTGGGACTGGCGCGGCAAGGGATGGTTAACCCTTGTTCACTCGCACTGGGAGATACTCGGTTGGGGCGAGGTCGTCACTCCCGAGGGCGTCAAGGAGCGGTGGGCGGTTACATGGTTTGCTCCTACGGTGTTTAGCAAGGAGGGGTTGGATGTTTACTGTGATCGAAGAGAGGGTTTGAGTGAGGAGACGTATGCGAGAATTCTGGAGGCTCTGAAGGGGCTGAAGGGATCAGAGGCAAAGAAGGTTGCTGACTTGCTCGAGGCTAATATGCAGCCTGTTGAGATTAGACTACCATGGATTGAGAACTAATATTGCTGTATGTTGTTTTTGGATATCAGAGTGGAGGATTAATAGGTTGGGTAGGATGTTTGATAGTTTGAATGCGATATACCCTGTGATTTGAGAAAAGAAGGCTCCTAGAGAACCACCGTGAAAGTTGTTTACAGGGCCAGTCATCTACTTGTCTTGAATGTGCTGGTAAGCTCTTGCATGTTTGTGCCGTCATAATATCCATATCTATTTTAATGATTACTAAAGAGAAGCTTGTTTAAAGCTGCTTCATGAAGCATGAAATAAAAGGTAGCCAAAAGGGCATCATGTTGGTCGCTATCATAGTTCATGTCGACTCTGTCGTTCTTTATCCCCTCTTTCTCCAGATCGCAGATCTTGTTTCTCGCGATATTTGTCATCCCTCCTGATCCTCTCTCTTCGTGGTTCGTCCTCGTCATGGCGCCTTCTCTCATGCCGGGACCTTTCTCTTTCATGACGTTCACGTCTTCCACTCGATGAATCACGTTGTCGGTCACGATCATGCCTTCGCTCTTTGGACCGTTGTCTTCGCTCATGGCGATCCGATGATCTCTCCCGGTCACGACTACGGTCCCTACTTCTATGTCGATCTCTACTTCTGTCCCTACCTTCATGTCGTCGCCGTTTCTTTTCGCGATGTCGCTCTTCGCGACGCATGTTCTTCAACTCCTGTTCTCTTTCCTCTTGGAAGCGCTTCCTGTCCTGTTTAAGCTCACGAACCTTGGAAGCTCCCTGCTTCATCATGGCAAGAGGATCGTTGGATGATATGCGTTTAGCATCCCGGTCTTTACGGTTCGGGTCTTGATTGCCCCATACGTCCTTTGACGAAGCATCAGGCGCCGCAGCATCAGCTTGCGAATACCATGGTCGCAGAACACCATCTTTCCCTGCGGCGCTCGAGAAGCGCATCATATATTGGTCTTCATAGCTCTGCTTCTTTTTCTTCGCCTCTTTCTCGGCCTCGTCATTCTTCTCTGCATGTGCCCTTGACTTCTCATCGCCGAGCAAATCAATGTGTCCATTGTGGTCCACTATAGGCGCAGAACTTGTACTCTTGCGCTCAGGTTCGACGTTCACCAGGGCTGAGTTGTCATTCTCTCTGGCTATTCGCAATTCGAAGTCGGTGTCATCCTCGCCTGGTCGCTTTCGCTTTCGTCGCGTGCCTTTATGCGAAGCATCGCGATCACCAATGGTTGTCTCGTTTGGTTTGGGCGATTCGGGTTCTTCAATAGGAGGAGGCTCTTCGCCGCGTAGAATGGCTAATCGACGTTGCGCATCAATTTCCTGCATGCGCTGTTCTTCCCCTTCTTCGATGGCCTTCGCGGCAGCCTCATCGCGACGAACGCGGGCGATGTTGTCGGCATTGTAGACGTTCCACGACTTCTTGCCTAGAAGATGTCTATCATAAGTTAGATGTATGCGCCACAGCTGTTGATATGTTGAACTTACAGTGGCATCTTAAATGTTGGTAGGAATGAGTTAAGTAAGACATTGACCCTGCGCAAAAGCTCTCCGTTGCCGGAATGCGGGGCCGAAAGATGACATAGGCGCTACTAAGCCCCTGGAAAATGGATTGCATGTTGCCCCTCCAGTCGTCAGCTTCTCACTCAAGTTCTCCATGTCTACCGAATCATGGTGTAAGTTTATAGATTGGTAAAGTAATAACTAGAAACTTCCATGCGCGTGATAACAATTTTGTCGCATCCCATACGGGACTCAGAAACCATATAGATCAATTTGTTCTTTAAGAACCACTATAGCTCTTTCAACCGTAGAAGACACTGTTGTTGAGTTGTCCTGAGAGTCTACCGAATTAGGTATATTATGGATCTTGAGCTGACATACGCTTCTCTTATTGGCCTAGAGCTTCCTGGCTGATTCAACACTGCTACACCTACAGTGTCAGCATAGACTTGTACCTGGCGCAGTTCCAAGCCATAACTTTGACAAAGACACTTGTACTTACCCATCCAGTATATAAGGCAACCAACCCAAGTTCACCCGCTGAATCTGAACTTTGCAACATCATATACACATCACCAAAATGTCTAGAACACCTTTCGGCGGATTCATGGGTGGCTCTCGAGGCCAACAGCCTCCTCCACCTCAGCAACAGCAAGGCTACGGTGGCCCTCGATACAACGACCCTCGACAGCAGCAGCAGCCTCCTCAGAACTACCAAAGTCATCAAGGCGGCGGTGGTGGTAGTGGCTATGCGGAGAAGCCCTCGCGATCTGGCGGGCGCCAGGTTAACCTTCGAGTCGAGAAGGTCACAGACAAGTCCCTTCAGTCAAGATTGATCTACGGCAACCTGTATGTATTCGTCTTCCTGTATCATTGAACCCTGACTGACGTCTTACCAGGTGCGCTGTTTCTCCCGATGACTTCCCTCCTAACCGCGATGGATCCGATCTTTATATTCTGCTCCAAGCAGGCCAGCCCATGGGCGAATACGTTGTCACCGCAAAGCCCGTAGATGGGTTTCCCTCGGGCTGTATCAGCTTGTCAGACCCCCAGCGATCATGGGCCGGTATCACTATGCGAGACGTGTTTAGAGGAGAAATATATGACCCTTTTGCGGCCGGAGGAAAGGCGTACTTGGGCTCAGTCGACCTAGAAATCGGCTTCGCTTCCCCCAACAAGAAGACAGACGTTCCTTATGACGAGGACGAGCTATCTAAGATGTTTATCGACACATATCAAAATCAGGTGCTTTCTCCTGGACAGCGCATCCTTATGGACGTCCGAAATGTTCCTCTTCTTGTCGTCGTCAAGACGGTCTCTTTGACAGATTTGGCCATGACTTCAGACAACTCCAAAAAGGCCCAGCGAGAACCCCATGCTAGGGGTATCCTGACGACTCAGAGTCAAGTCATCTTCCATCGTGATGCAAAGGGTGATTTCAACCTCAAGCCCTCGATGCACAAGCCCAACTCCAACGCCATTCTCGCTCCGGACTTCAAGTTCGAGGATATGGGCATTGGTGGTCTGGACGATGAGTTCGCTACCATTTTCCGTCGTGCATTTGCATCTCGTATTTTCCCTCCTGGCTTGATCGCCAAGATGGGTATTACTCACGTCAAGGGATTGCTGTTGTACGGTCCTCCAGGTACCGGAAAGACCTTGATTGCCCGACAGATTGGTAAAATGTTGAACGCCAACCCACCCAAGGTCATCAACGGTCCCGAGGTTCTCAACAAATACGTTGGTCAGTCTGAAGAGAATATCCGAAAGCTGTTCGCCGATGCAGAGAAGGAATACAAGGAGAAGGGAGACGAGAGTAGTCTGCACATTATTATCTTTGACGAGCTTGACGCTGTCTGTAAACAACGAGGCTCCGGATCTGGTGGAGGTACTGGTGTTGGTGACAGCGTGGTGAACCAGCTTCTCGCCAAGTTGGATGGTGTGGACCAGCTTAACAACATTCTTTTGATCGGAATGACCAACCGAAAGGACATGATCGATGATGCTTTGCTGCGACCCGGTCGTCTTGAGGTGCACCTCGAGATCTCACTTCCTGATGAGGCAGGTCGACTCGATATTCTCAAGATTCACACTGCCAAGATGGCCGCGAACGGACTGTTGGACTCTAGCATTGATTTGGATGAATTGGCTGGCTTGACCAAGAACTTTTCAGGTGCCGAGATCAGTGGTCTGGTCAAGGCAGCTGCATCCTGCGCATTTTCTCGACACACTGAAGTCGGTCAGCTTGCTGCTGTGAAGCAGGATGTTGCCAGCATGAACGTGAAGCGTGAGGATTTCATGGTAGCTCTCACCGAGGTGCGACCTGCTTATGGTGTCTCGGAGGCTGAGTTGATGGAGGCTATCCGCTTGGGTATCTATCATTATGCACCTCATATCGACATGAACATTCAACAAATGATGCGTGTCGTGGGCATGGTCAAGGAGGACCCGAACAAGTTCAGCACATCAGTTCTTTTCCATGGCCCTCAGGGATCTGGCAAGACAGCCCTGGCTGCACACATCGCTATGCAATCAGGTTTCCCCTTTGTCAAGATGATCACACCATCAGACCTGGTCGGATACCGTGATGACTTTGCCAAGAAGGACTATATCCACAAGGCCTTTACAGATGCCTACAAGTCGCCTGCCAGTATTCTAATTCTGGACGACTTTGAACGTCTCATCGGATGGAACCCTATCGGACCTCGCTTCTCCAACACCATGCTGGAAGCATTGACGACTCTGATTGTCTCCCGGCCTCCCAAGGACCACCGTCTTTTGGTTTTCGTCACCACTTCCAAGGCTTCGGTACTAAAGATGCTCGAGATCGATGGCGATTTCGCAAAGAAGGTCGCCGTTCCTGGCGTGTCCAACTTGCGTGAGCTGGCGGCAGTCCTACAGGAGTCACCCGAATTCGAACATGATGTTAATGCCGCAGTCAACGAAATCGGTCGACAAACAGGATCGGACAGCGTTGGAGTGGGTATCAAGACAATTCTGGATTGTATCTTTGAGTCCAAGAGAGACCCTAATGGACAGGTCGTTGAGGCCTTTGTAGAGTTGGTTGTTGGCAAGATTCAGGAATTGAGGATGTAGATTGGTCTTTATGGTCATGAAATAGAGTCTTACATTGCCCACATAGATCTTTATTGTAGATGTTTTTTGTGCTCGCATGCTGTTATATGTCTTTATGTTGTCTCAGGATTTACTGCGTTGGGAGTCATCGTGATAATACTTGAAGAGATAGTCATGAACACAACGAGATCTTTCAAACAAGTTAAATATTGCGGCAACTACGTTCATTACAATTACTGATTGCCCCGGATCAAGAATTTCACAATACCAGTCACAATGCTCAGATATCTTCGTAGATATATCACAAAAGCGTTCACAGCATGTCAATATAGGGTAAGCTCGTCGAAACGAATTCATTCATCAATGCCGTGGATTAGCTGGGACTGGTTGATTGAGACCGTATCAGTATCGGTGGAACTACAAGGGTTTCTCATCCAACATGCTCAACGTTACTCTCATTGTAACATTACCATTGGGCATCGTGATCGTCTTGATCGTCTTCTGATCGTCTTCTGATCGTCTTGGATTATGTACGGCAGCGTGTAACCGTGGAGAACATGGATATCATGAGCTAGGCTGATTACATGTCCATCGATTCAAGCGTTTAAAAAACGCGTTTTTAGCGAGGTTCCTAGGATAACCATGAAAGAGAACACGCGAGAATGGATCCGTCCATGTTTAGATTTTGTGCGGGCAACACAAACTACCAGATCAAAAACAGAGTGGCTGGAAGCACGGGCTTGCTGTTGGAGTGGTTCATGGGCGCGGGCCTTTTTTTTGCCTGTCACGAACGACTTTCCAGATCTGATCTTGTTTGGCTTGACTTGACTCGACCGGGGCAGCGGCAACGAGCAGTAGGGCAAGAATCTTTGTCGAACCGATAGGCGGTCAACAGAAGAAGTTGAGAAAGAATCCATTATAACGAGTCAGTTATACCTTTGCCGCCCAACCATTTCCCCTTCAGCGGGGATCCCGGCCAACGTCACGCTATAAATTCTCCATTTAAAGGCGTTTTTAGTGAGTCAAGGGAAAGGTCATTGGGTTCTTTGTGGTGATGGTGAGGATCTGAATGGTTGGAGTTTGTGTTGATCCGGCGCATCAACTGTTGGATTCTGTGCCGAAAACCACACCGCAGCCTCTGTACAGTCTGGTAATATGATTTTTATTTTATTTTAGGATTGGCTCATCAGCGATTGATACACTTATGCAAGGCCATCCCTTGAGCCAGGCCTTGTCTCGTTCGAGTATGTAGTTCATAATACTAGCCATAGCATGAATAGAGGCTACTGAGAGCTGTGAGGCTTGAGCATTGCAAGCCAAGCAAGTAAGATGAGGCTTACTGTGGGATGACCAGAACAGGGCTGCAGGATTGTTTACATGAACTTTGGACAAGCACATGCAATTGTGATACAAGATTTCTCGTATCTGTGTCCCGTCTGCCCGTCTATCTAGGGTTGACCATAACCATGGATTTTTCTGGCTCTTATCCTGGACCCAGACGAGGAGTAGGTTCCTAGACTGCCGAGACAGGAAAAGACCGCGGATGGTTCCCCGGCACCCGACTAACTGGTGTCGAATCACGTCTTAAAGTTTGACCCAGTCCTTGAGTCTAAAAGGTTCTGATACTACGTAGTTCTTGGCGGGTGCCATGGATCCTTTTGGTTTTGCTACTGTAGGTCAGCACGTGGAGGGTGGTTGACATCTCCAGGCCGCGGGTGACATTCGAAAGATGAATGAGATATACAGAGAAAAGAGAAGATGTTGGGAAAATTGTGGTAGTGAGAGAGTGAGGATACCTTTTGCCAAGAGGGAAAAACGTGATGGACCATGCATGGTGCATTAGTTGCGCTGCATTGTCGGTCATGGGATTCTCTTTCTGGAACGATTAAGGACAGGACAGGACCTTAAACCCCCGCTTCCGAAGCAATCGCTTACTACACAGTATATAGGTACTTGAAGTGTGCTGTGAGGGGATTTTGAGCACGTACAAGCTTTTTTCTTTATCAGAACTCATTGATACCCAAGATGACATACTGTAGTCAGTTAGACAAAAGATCGACAGAACTGGGCATGAATTCTAGACTCGCTCTCTCCAATGTCCTGTCCCGGGCTTGACCTAGAGTGTGTGCCTCTCTCTCTTCTAAAGTCTGTTGGATGCAACATCGAAGCATGGCGGAGGAGCAAAGTAGAGAGTACTTGCCTTTAGTCCAATGGTTGGTTGGTACAGGGATGTGTTTGTATGCAAGAACGGGCCGAACTGGGAACCGTTGGAGGTCCAGCTGCAGGTACTCAGTACATATCTCACCTCTAACGCACCAATTGACCTCAATTGTAGGTGCTAATACCAAGGCCATCCCTGTAATGTGCTTTGAACTTTTGTATATGAATTACCTCATTTTATTCATTATGTGCGTGTGTATGAATTTTGCAAGGAAGAGGAAACATGAGAATTGATGATTGTCAGTACTCGATCACTATTCATGACTCCCGTCCTCTTCTTAGTACGGGAGGCAAACAGTTCGTGTCAAGCCGAGCTGTAAATGCATTGCCAATCAGATTGCCGAACAGGACTTTGAGAGCTGGGAGAGAGCTGGAACTAGCCCGCCATTGACCCTTCTGCTGGGTCAACTTGGGGCACACGATACAGCGTCCAAGGTACAGGAACTGCAACACCGTATCCTCAATTGGTGCACAGACAAGTATAGCTACATAATCGACCTGAATCGATAAGTGCTATTCTTAAGTGCTAGGTTGACAAATGACCCACCCACCCTCTTCTTCTCCCACGATCCCATGCCAACCCAACCGCAAACAAGCCCCAAGTCCAGAGCCAGAACCAAAGCCAGAGACAAAACCCGGTCCCGCGAGCAAGCGGCTTTCTTGGTCTGGCCTCGAGAGGTCGAGAGAGGTTCGGCTCGAAAAAAAAAAAGAGTCTACCCCAATTGCTTCTGAAAGTGTCCTTCTTTCTTGACCTTTCACTCTCTTTGCTTTTTCTGTGTGAGACAGATCGAATGGGCTTGGCCAGGGTCCTATTGTCGTATCGCGTGCCGTTATTCTGCTGAGAAACCTACACGTCTGTTTTTTTCTTCGCATACAGCGTGACTCTTTTTTATTTTTATTTTTATGACCCCTCTGTCCCTGTCTCAGTGTTTGTCGTTGTCCCGTTGCCGACGATCACTCAGCAGTTGAACGAACATATCTCCGACACAACCAACTCCAATGTCAACAACAACAAAAACAATACTCTGCTAACAATTTAACCTCTCTCTACTTTATGGCTTTATCATGTAAGTCTCTTTATTTAATTGCTTTTCTCTCATCATGACATCAGCTCCACACTTCAAGATTGTCCGTGGTGGAAAATCAACCAGGTTATCCCATGCTGGTCGTCTCGCCAGGCCTCAGGTTGGTCTGGGTGGTTAATTAATTACCTAGACTACACTGCAACCAGGCTGGAACTAGCATAGCATAACAAGGCAATCTAACGTTGCTAATGGTGCTTGGTCCAAGCCAACACTTCTACTTTCATCTTTTCCTTCATCCCATATCCCATCATATTCGTATCGGACTCGCCGTCTTTCTTCTTGAATTTCTTTCCTTCCCTTCTGCCATCTCTGGACTCCCTTACCCCACTGTAGCCCGCGCGTACCGCACCAGGGTCCATCAGTTACAGCACAAACCACGACATGCGCGACAGCTTCCAAATTACTCGCTGCTAACTCAATGCCTTGATTGACAGCTCCTCTATCGCTTTGAGCACCGTCAGCTCTGCACTCTCCTGACGAACAGGCAACGCGCCTGCAAGAGGACGTGCCATGGAGGCCCTGGAGGCTTCGTCTGCGTCTGCAGACCCGCTGCCCCCAGCATCTGGTCTCAGCACTGCGCCCCCAGCTGCAACCACTGTCAAGGATCCGACGTCGACCAAAACAACCCATCAGTCAAGGTCTCGTTCAGGGTCAGGCCTTGTCGCAGCCCCTACAGCAATCGTCACTGGACTCAGGAAAAGGGAAAACACCAGCCCCAGCTTCTCAACGCCCACCAAGTGGCCTTCTGTGAGGTCTACTACCACCGCCGCGCGCATGCCTACGACCATTACAGCTGTTGCGAAACCTTTGCTCCCTCTCTCAGAACGACGAATTCACCAAACCAAGCACACAGCTCGAAGTCTCAAGGACTCAGATTCCAGCGCTGATTACCAGGCTCGATGGGAAATTGCTCCTGATGGTGGATCGGCAGGCCGAGAGGGACGTCAATTCACTGTCGCCAACGTGGGGAACAATGGTCGCATATATCTGAGGTAGGTTGAGATCTGAATCATCTCATGTTTCTTGTTGTCAACCCGGGTCTCCCTTGGGAAACCTCCTGCCACACTACTACTCTCCCTTCACTCTGCGGTCTTTGCTCGTGCCTTGTGGGGAGATGTCTTAGTGGCTTCCATATTGCGACCTCATCTTACGTCGCCTTGGGGATATCGCAACGTGGCTGGCACAAGACACGACACTTGCTCGTATTATTACTTGTGTGCCACAAACCACTGACTCTCATTCTTTAGGCCGACCGTTCGCCCTGCGTACCAGCGATGTCCTCAGCCTCAATTTGTCTTTCCTATCACGCCACCCAGCACTGCAGGCTTGGATGCAATTTATCAAAACAAGCAGGTTCAAGACGAGACCAGCGAGCTTCACGTCAGTCAGTGGACCCCGACCGAACCATCGCCTTATGACACCAACAACCAAACCTATTTCGAGCACGAGTCTTATCCGCTCCGTCCTATAAGGCACAGACGCGCCCTTTCCGACAGCACGGTCCACGAAGTAACCGTAACGAAGGAGTCGGAGCCGGGTGCCTTCAAAATCGTTATATCTAAACCGTTGGAGGAACATCGGCCCCGGACTATGGAAGATTTGGATTCCAACGACCCTCTTCTCGACATTTCGATTCCTTCCTGGCGTATTGGTGTCCCACGTTTTACTGGAAGAGGCACACCAATGATTCGAGGATCTTCGTACGCTCCCACCGAG